CTGGAAATTTTCAATAAACAATGACTGATGGACGGAAGAGAAATGTTGGAAAAAGAAATAAATATAGTAAAAATCCACAACAAAGTCAAAGAAACTAAATACTAGTAAACATAAAAGAAATAAATAACAAACACATGGACACAAGAATACAAGAAGAACTAGAATACAAAATATACGATCCTGGAAAAGATTTAGACAATAATCTGTACATGCAAAAATGCAAATATTATAGCGACAGAGAAATGCGTGACTGTGCCTTGGTGAATGATACACTGTCCATCATCCACTTCAATAGTAGAAGTTTGCATTGCAATTGTGATCAAATATTGGCATTTTTAACACAAAATAAATTAGATTTAAGGTCATTGCAGTTACAGAAAAATGGTTACAAGAAGGAGATATTGAGGACGTTCAAATAGACTGGTATGAGATGTATTACCAGAATCGGGAAAATAAAAAAGGTGGTGGTGTAGCACTGTGTATATGTAACACCCTAAAAAGCAAAGTGATGAATAACATGTCGACAGCAACTGCTGATGTAATGGAAATGATCACTGTTGAAATAACATCTGAGAAGACAAAAAACATAATAATTAGCAGTATTTATAGAGCACCAGGTTCCTGTATTGAATCATTCACAAACACAGTTACGGAAATGTTTAATGGAATCGGTAACAAGAATCTGTTTCTCTGTGGGGACTTCAACATTGATTTGAAAACTACAAACAATTTATCAAACGACTTTGTAAGTTCCATGCATCTACTCTGAGGTTTGTTTCCTCTGATAACCAAACCCACAAGAAATACTGTACAAAGCTCAACAATTATAGATAACATATTTTGTAATGTTTCAGGGGGGGTTGGAGAGTGTTGGAATCATAATGACTTATATTAGTGATCATCTGCCAGTTTTCACATGCTACAAGAATGATCAGATTAGACATCAACCTCAAATGGAAAATCTTATAACGGATCGGTCACAAAAAGCCATAGACTCATTTAATAGAGCCCTAGAACAGCAAAACTGGGATTAAATATATATAAATGATGTAAACTTGGCTTACAGCTCTTTTATGAGAATACTGTGCAGTCAATACAAAAAAAAACTGTAAAATAAAAAACTTACAAAAAAAGATAATAAGAATAAACAATGGTTGACAAAAGGACTGCAAAATGCCTGCAAGGAAAAAATGCCCTATTCAGAAGCTTTTAAAAAAAAAAGAACCAGCGAAGCTGAGCACAGATACAGAAAATATAAGAATAAATTAGTTTCAATATTAAAAAGACAAAAAAATGTATTATAGCAATCTACTAGAAAAACAAAAACAATATAAAGGCAACTTGGGGAATAATAAACAATGTTATAAAAAGAAATAAATCAGTTTCAACTGTTCCGAATTATTTTATAAATGAAGAAATAAACGATCCAAACAAAATCGACAATGAATTTAATAAATTCTATACTAACGTGGGACCAAGCTTGGCAAACAACATTCCAAAAAGAACTAATTATAACGTAGGCGAAAAAATTATAAGTAACAAAAATAGCATGTTATTAAATCCAGTGACTAATGAAGAAGTAAGAGAAGTTGTAAAAAAAACTCATCAATAAAAGAACAACTGACTGCGACAATTTAGACATAATAATAATAAAACATAGAGAATATTATCCATCCCTTTACTTATATATGTAACTTATCATTTACAACCGGCATATTTCCTACCAAAATGAAAATAGCTTAAGTCATTCCGCTTCACAAAAGTGGAGATAAGCATATCTTCTTCAACTACCGACCTATATCCCTTCTGTCACAATTCTCAAAAATATTAGAAAAACTATGTATTTCCAGATTGGATGCATTTCTGAACAAAGGTAATATCTTAAATGACAGTCAGTATGGGTTTAGACCAAATCGCTCAACTTCAATGGCACTAATGGAATTAACAGAAGAAATATCCGAAGCCGTTGACAAAAAAAACATTTGATAAGTATCTTCATTGACCTAAAAAAAGCATTCGATACAGTAGATCATGACATCCTTCTAAAAAAAACTTAGTAAATATGGCATAACAGGAACAGCCCTAAAATGGATAAGGAGTTATTTACATGACAGGAAACCGTATGTTCAAATAAACAACATCAAATCCAATCTGGATATTATTACTTGTGGAGTACCACAAGGGTCGGTGCTAGGCCCTAAACTATTTATTATTTATATAAATGATATTGTCTCTACATCTAATATGTTAAAGTGTATCTTATTTGCAGATGACACAACTTTTTATTATTCGCGAGACAATATTGATCAAACGATAGAAGTGGTACAAACAGAGATGGAAAAAATCAAATTATTGTTCGATGGAAATAAGCTTTCATTGAACACAGATAAAACATATTTTATGATATTCAGTAATAGAAAGTTGAATATAAAAACATTAATAAAATTAGACGAAATCTGTATTAAAAGAGTAAAGGAAGTTAAATTTTTGGGAGTCATCACTGATGAAAATTTATCTTGGAAACCACATATAAACAATATCAAAACTAAAATAGCTAAATCAATCGCAATATTACACAGAGTGAAATGGTCTCTAGATGACAAATCCCTATATTTATTATACAATTCATTGATCGTACCGTACTTGAACTACTGTGTTGAAATTTGGGGAATAACATATAAAACCTATACACATTCAGTTTTTATCCTACAAAAAAAGCAATAAGAATGATAACAAGAAGCAATTATAGATATCCATCCAGCCAATTATTTATCAAATTAAAAACATTAAAATTTTACGACCTAGTTGATTATACTATTTTGAAATTTATGTATAAAGTCGACAAAAAGCACCTTCCAACAAATTTAATCATAAGATTTATGGAAAGAAAGAGTAGTTATGGTTTGAAAGGCAACAAAATATACACGATACCAAAACATAGGATAAATATAAAGGAACGTTGTGTATCAATATATGGAGTAAAAATCTGGAATAAATTAAGTACCAAAATCAAGAATGCCAAAACAATATATACCTTTAATAAACATATTAAAAATGAAATGCTTAGCTTATATGATTCAATGAGATAGACATATTTATGAAGTAGAGAGAATGAAAGGGAAAACACACACTGTATGTTCTACTTTGTTTCTTTTAGCTATTATTTTTGTGTGTTTTATTTTGCATTATTTGTTTTCTCCTTTCATTAATATAAGAAGAAAATATATAATAATTTTTTGTGTACATGTTTGTTTTCTCTCCATTTTTGCCAAAGCTTAATCAGTAAACCAGGTCAGACAGTTTTTTTAACTATAATAACTTTGTTGTCATTTAGATAACATAAGTTTTACTTCTTTCTGTTCCTTTTTCATTTTTTGTTGTTGGAAACCTGTTTTGTGTTTTGTTTTTAATTGTGAATAAATGAAAATAAACTTTAATTTAAAAAAACTAAGCTATAGGCTCAGCGGTACTTAACGCCACTGCTCCTCCGGATAACATACTAATGATCACCCGCTCATACCGTACTCCAGCTCCTCAGACTTGTCCTGAGCGGCTGCAAATGCAGAAAGACGTCACGCCGAAGTTGCACACATGCGCAGTGGGCATTATTTTACTCCAAGAATCCGAATGTGTGTACATGGACATCAAACAGAATGATGATCGGACAAAACCACCTCTCTCAAACGGAATGGAATAGAATTTCTATCAAGCCGTATCGGATCAGAAGAATTTCTGATATGATAGGGCATTCATTCAGATTACTTGTGCCCATGTAGACGTAGCTAATGATGAAATAGAAGGTTAGTTAGACATTATGTTTTATTTCCAATGGTTTGACAAAATCCTTTGGTTTTATCCTTAATTGGCATTAGAATCACAAGAATCCAAGCTAATGATGTATAAGTACATATCTCTGTACATTTTAATACTTTTTGTGCATTTTTATACATTTTCTGTTAATATAAATTGTGTTTGTTTGATTGCTAAATAGAGCTATCTTTGTGTCATCTTCATCTCCTTTTGCGATAAGAACTGTGTAACACAATTCTCATTCATGGGATGATAAAGGTTTACTCTTTCCTATTCTATAATATATGTGTGTGTGTATTATGATGTATTTGTACATAGAATGAATGTTGCAAAATAGATGCCGATGTGATCTTAAAGTTTCTGCAGGACTAACTGATAGGCATAAAAAAGATCGCTCTTCAGAAAACAATCAGAGAAGGGCTGAGGCGATCATTGATGGTCCGTGAATTCATTTAATCGCACAACCTAAAAAAAAAAAAGCTACCAGAAGAAAGTTACATCATATTTGTTTTTAAACTAATTCAGAGAAAGTTGATTTGGGAGGTTTCTTTTCACTTTTCGGTCATCGATTCATTACAGCTAACTTTACAGAAGTTTAATGCAATCCTCCTTTAAAAGTTTTATCATCACATTTAAGAATTCTGCTAAAATCTGTACAAAGTGCGTGTCACAAGAAAACTATAGTTTACGTAAAAAAGAACTGGTGTTTCGTTTATTGTAAGAGTGGAAAATTCCTTCATGCAAAGACTAAATGGGTGGCTTTTTTACCTTGTTGTAGAGAAGTGAACAGGAAAGAGGTATAATAGATAAAGGTGACCAAACTCAGGCTGTTGCTATTAAAAGCAGCAGCCTTCCATTAGCAAAACATTTTAGCAATGTTTTATATAAATGAGCCAAAAGTTGGTTTATAAAACTGAACGATTGCATTCCAGGTTTGATAAAGTAACATAATTTTAACTGAAAGTCTGCAAAATAAGGTTAACAATTCATTCGGATGCCTTTGTGAGGATGTTAAACTAGTAAAATGCTTTGCAAACATTTGCATTATATCATAGATATGATACAAGTATGCCTTTAATCTCTCAAGAGATATTGTACTTTTGTGAGCTTAAAAAAATTCTGCACACATTTCTGTAGAAATACAGATTTTTTTTTTGTTACAGTAGAAATACAAGAGTGTTTATTTTAACCTTGTGTCTGTATGACATGAAGGATCTTTGTTGTGACCTGTCTTGCCATTTCAACATCCCTCAGCATGGACTCCCCATTCATCCTCTCCAGCTGGCCAAGAAGCATCATTACCCTGGAGTTACTGGGAACACTGGAAACAAACCAACAGAAGACACTTTTACCTTCAGAAAGAACATACTGTATGTTCCTGCAGAATGCTGCATTTGTAATCTGTGTCATACTATAACAGGATGAACCATTAAAGCAGTATTAGTTGTACTGCACAAATAGTACAAAGCAGCAGCTATTATCATTTTTAAAATACAATTGTATGTTTAATGATTCACACATTTCTTACAGAAAAAATAATTTAAAAAACTGGAAAGAGAATTTACATTTAGGCCATCTAAAACACATTTTATAAATACCTGTAAGATTTATTATTTTAATAAAGCTGGCTGCCCTCTAGAGCTCAACTATTTCTGGGATAGTGACCTCTCTTTTTCTAATAATATTAACTTCCCTGGCACTCAGCTAGAAGCAAGAGATTAAGGGTCAGTTGTTACAGCAAGGGCAAATAACAGAGACAGAATCAAAACTCAGATTGTACCCAGTGGAGCAAACGTTCCCATGTCCTTATAAAGAGTGAGTTAGATGAAGACCGGCAGAAAGACAAAAGTGTGTGTGCTCAAGACACACAAATGACAAGAAAAAGGAAGAGAACAGATAAGAGAGTCACAAAAATGAACAAAATGTATTTTTAGTGGTGACAAATTCCTACGGCTGTTTTCAGGAAGGTCCTGTAATTAATCCCTCCCCCTTCAATGCGGAATGAACTGTGGAAATCAGACCATAAAAGTTATCCCAGACTTAAAGAAACGTAACAGTGTTCACACACAAACACACTTCACTGCCTCCGTGTGTTTGAGTAGCATCAACTCACCCCTTCTCTGTGGCCATTTTGGGTTTGTTCATTTTCAACCAAGTCAAAACATCATCTTGTGTTCTGTAAAACAGATAGAGGAAGGGAGGAATCAAACACTGATAAAAAAAAAGACAAGTAAACACATTCTGTGGTATGTGATTACCCTTTACTCGAAATGTCAAGTGAGATCCCACTGGACTCCCACTTTAGCCAGCTAAGAAACTATTCCATAACCAGCTGACACTACAGCTCAACTGTCCCTAGCTTTGAATGTACTAGCCTATTAACATCTGAAAACACAACTCAGGCTTGTAATGGATTAGTGGCATATGTAAAGTCCTAGTGGGATAACTAGAATATTATATAGTATCAAAAGGTAAATGCTAATAAACTTATTTTATGCTGAATTAAAAAAAAGATTCTGCAGCTAATACAACATTAAGCAGATGCTTTGATTCAAAGAGACTTAGTTTTAACCTGACATGCATGTTTTTGGCCTGTAGGACAAAACCTACACATGCATGTGTGGAACATAAACTCTACACAAATAAGTAGCAGCCGGGATCTGAACCTGCAACATTCTTGCTGCAATGCAAGAACACTAACAACTGCAGCACCATGCAGGAGAAACATATTTTCTCCATCCCCATGCACGTTCCAAGAAAATGTCAAACAAGCACATGTATACTATAAGATTAGTGTCAAACCTTTGAAACTGAATATACTGTGAGACTAGGATGAGTGCAGGGTGGCTCTTTAAACAGATGATGCTCATACCAAATGTCCCAGAACAAAACTATCAGACAAGGACCCCTTTAGACTGAATGCACAAAACGATGCACACTGACATGATCAGAAGCAGAGAGATGTAGACAATGCTACACAAATGCAATGCTGGCAAAAGTGTGTAAACTGAACCACGTGTATTTGATTACACTCACAGTTGCCTGGATTAAGTTAAGTTAATTTATAGTCAATATCTTGCATTGTTGGAGGGTTAGGGTTAGGGTTAGTCCACAGTCTATATCTTATAAACATTCCAACGATTCTCTAAATGGGTTAAGCTCTGCACCCTGCTGATTGTATAAATTATTTCTCGAGTTCCCTGATACAATTATTTCACTATTTAAACACAATTAATCCCCTAATACTTATCCCATGCTAGATTAATAGCATCTGTTGCAGGTAATTAATTGCAACCATTAAAGGTAAATTATTTATTTTTGCTAGGTGACACAAGAGATATTATTTGTTTACTTTGATGTCTGTCTACTTTCACAAACCAACCCCCATTAAGAGAATGGTAACAACTCAAAATACATCAAGCTAAACAAAGTAAACTCTTCTGCCAGTTTGTTTGTATTTCTTCCGAGTTTTAAGTCTGACAACCCAGCAGAACAGGGTGGTCTCTGCACCTGCTGGGGTGGTCGCTCATCAACGGCCGCCTACTGGTGTCTGCGCGAGCAGGCCAGCGAACAAGACGAACATGCTAACAGTAAGAATCAAATAAACACGGCGGTTTTAGGCAAACACGTTTACTCGTATATTAAAATAAATTAAAATAATTTCACAAACCTTTTTAAAAATAAACTGTTGTCATGATAAGGCTGGGCTGATAGTATGATAAGATGGTCCGCTACTGTTTTTGTTGCTACGCCCTGATGATGATGATGATGATGATGAGATGATAGCAGAGACGTTCTCGGTTAATACCGCGAGAGTTTCGGTGTATTAGTGTTAGAATAAGAAAACCAGAAATAATTGTAGGAAAATATTGAGCGAAGTTACAAACATTAAATTGTATATTGTATGAATAGTTGACATTCTCCTGCTTTCAGTTTTGGGAACCATGCGCTTTACAGTTTGCTGTAACCTTGTCCTGTTTTATGTGGACTACAAATCCCAGATTGACAGTAACTTGAATGACGTATAATTTATGCGCCAGCCTTGTCATTCTCAAAGGAATTAATGCTGAAATATTAAGGTATGGACGGATTTTTAACGATTTGTCGATTTATTTAGAACAGTATTCAGATTTTGTTTATCCCATAAAATTCAAACAACTATAGAAATACAAATAACTTACTCTCTCCATTGGAAATGCGCTATGTAGGCAACATTAGCTTGTTTGCACCGTTTGCACACGGTTTTTAAGCTAAGTAGATGTTTATGAGAGCTCTAACGCCGTTAAACGTGTTTACCCTCATTGCTGTGCGTGACCTGCGTTTGTGCGCTTTAGAGACAGCGACATGTTGTGTTCCTGTGCTAGTGATGTAATTTAAAAGATAAAACAACAGCATTAGTGTGTCTTGTCAATATCGTATTCATTTACCGGTATGTGATCAGGTACAGTCATTTAAACGATGTATATTTACAAAGTTGAGTCACAGATCGTTAGTTATAAGCTGCAAACCTCAGTAAGTGGGTTTAAACTGTTAAGAACTTATAAATCAATATTACTAAAGAAGAAAATGCACCCTTACCTCTCGCAATATTGACATCTTGGTGTGCAGAAAGCAACCTCTCAAGTTGGAAGAGATGCCTATCAGTTTTACCCAGCGCTGATTAAAGCAATTCAACTACGTATAAAGGTCAACTTTGTGCTAAATGTCACATCTAATGTGGTAATATCTCATTCTTCTGGTTCTCTTTGATTTGTCTCAAGTCACCATGGTGATGAAATCAGCCATTGAGGATGATGACACTGGCTGGGTGCTGGGCATCCCAGAAAAGATGAAGAACAATGCCAACTGGGTTGATATTACCCACGAATTTAAGGGAGCCTGCAAAGGTAAAAACTAAAATAAAGTTCAGTGGCTCACTTCCTCTTACTTCTATCTATGATGTTGTTTTGTTTGTTCACACAGAGTTAAACCTTGGAGAGTTGCTTCATGATAAACTGTGAGTAAGATAAAGATGTCTCCTGATAGTTTATGAATGGTGTCGGCCTTTAAAGAAAACTATATACGGTTTTATCTTTTCAAAGCTGAAGGTCAGTATTTTATTGCACATTTGTTGTCATGTTTACCAGAGAACGTCACCGCACAGCACCATAAAAATTTTGTCCGTCTTTCTGGCGTTTCTGACATGACATCAATAAGTAAAATGGAGAAAATAAATATCAACGATACTAGAGTAAAAGTTATTTGATTCTAACTTGTTTAAAGTGTTAATTTCATTTTCCAAAAGAAAAAGTAGCTCAAACTGCTGAAATAAACAAAGAAAATGTTTTGTTTTGGTACAGGTTTGGCCTTTTTGAAGCCATGTCAGCAATAGAGATGATGGATCCAAAAATGGACGCGGGAATGATTGGAAACCAGGTCAACAGGAAAGTTCTCAATTTTGAACAAGCGATTAAGGTACTGGAATAAAACAAAAGTGGAGATTTTCTACACTTTAATGTTACCTTATCGAGATGTCTTTAGTTATAAAGAAACACAATGGATTAAGAAACTCCTTTAAAAAACTGATCTTACTTTCTTATCTAATCGTAGGAAGGCGCCATAAAGGTGAGAGACCTTAGTCTCCCTGAACTCATTGGGGTCATTGATACTTGTTTCTGCTGTTTGGTGAGTTTGCCTAACTGGTTCTTTAGTCAGATTTAGTCACATTTGCAGGTAACAACAAATATTGTTTGTGTGTTTTTACTTGTGTACATCTAGATCACTTGGCTGGAGGGTCACTCCTTGGCTCAGACTGTGTTCACCTGCCTGTATGTCCATAACCCTGACCTGATTGAGGAACCAGCTCTCAAAGCCTTCGCTCTGGGCTTGCTGAAGGTGTGCGACATCGCTCGAGAGAAAGTCAACAAGGCAGCTGTGTTTGAGGAGGTGTGCTGGAGTTTTTTTTTTTTTTTACACATTATGCTACAAGCTTTTAAACACTTTTGTTTACGTTAGAGAAGGTATAAACCAGGGAGCAGCTGTTTGGACATCTTGAATATATCTTTTAATTCACTCGTTAACGCTGCTGCGGTGCTTGTGACTGGAGCTGCTCACCAACAAACAAGCCTGGCCATGACTGTACTTGGCAGCTTCCAGGTGTAAATGAGAATAACTGAATGTGTCCAGGCTGTTATTTCTGAGATAAACAAGCCCTCACTAAAACTAAAACAATATTATTTGAAAACAAGTTTTGTAAGTTAATAGAATTATTTATAATTCACAGTTTTTGTCAGTTATGTATTTTTAAAATGGATAACATTAAATTAACATTGATTTCTGACATATTCAACTATTTTGTTTTGTATAGGAGGATTTCCAGGCCATGACGTATGGTTTCAAGATGGCCAACAATGTTACTGATCTGCGAGTAACAGGTGCACGTTTTTTACATCAAACCTTTCAGATTAAAAACAAACAAACATGTTTTCTCAGTCTTTTACCTTTCTGACCTTTTTCTTTTTACCAGGCATGCTGAAAGACGTGGAGGACGAGTTACAGAGGAAAGTTAAGGTAACTGCTTTCTGTTATTACATTTTCATTAAAGGTGTGTAACACTCAACAACCATTTTTTAATGATTATTTCTGATTATAATCAGTCACTAATGCTCATGCAGGCTGAACATGAAAGTAGTCTCCCACACCTATCTCCTGGATTAGCTCCTGATAAAAAAATAAGTATTGAGATGCTAGGATTTGAAAATCCTGACAGATCTGCGTCAAGTCAACGCTTGGGCTCACCCATCTTGACTCACGACAGGGAAGGCTGTTGTTGTTTTAGCGTCCAGCAAATAGCGTTGAATGTCTCGGCTAGCAGAAGCTAACCTTTAGCATTAGATACTCAACCAAATGGCAACAGCTCCTCCAGGCTTGTGCTATTTGTGGAGACGAAACGTCCATGTCGCAGAATATACAGAGTTAGTGGTAGAGTCTCGTTGCTGTTATTCAATCCAAGGCTCGAAAATATCTGGTAATAAGAGTCCAAATCCTGTCCGTGCTGATCCAGGTGCTTCTGCCCCCCTCAAATGTATTGATTAAACAAGTGAACCACACAGTTATAATACTAATAGGAAAGTGCTTGTTCTGATTCATGTTTTTTCCATTTCCTGCTACCTCTTTAGAGCACGCGCAGCCGACATGGAGAGCAACGAAACCCAGAGGTTGAACAGGAAGTAAGGCTGATTATTCCTCTGTGTGTTGCACCTAGGCTGCATGTCCTCCTGCAGTGTGGGACTCTGATGTTCTTCAGAAACTATTGTGAAATATTCCGATGTTTTGTTAATAAATGATACATGACCCGCACTTTTATATCACCTTTCAGAGTCAGAGGACTCCAAAGCACTTTACACTACAGTGTATCATTCATCCATTTACACACACAAAATAAGACAAAAACTGAGACTCCAAAAGTTTTCGTTGCTGTTAATTGTTTCATTTTTTAAAGTACATTTTTTTTATGAATCCAGTTAATATTCCAGTTTTGTGTTGTACTCTCCAGCACCAGCAGTGCCTGGCACTATTCAACAGGATCAAGTTTACACGACTTCTACTGACGTCTCTGATTGCTTTCACCAAAAAAGAGGTGAGGTTAGATGCAACAGAGATACGTTACACGCACAAACATTTAACTGGTTATAATAATCTGGGATATAGCTACATAACTCCGGATTTATCCTGGCCTATTTTACTGCATGTTATTGCTTTTTTGAGTGTTCCTTATGTTGTTTATATTTTTCAGACCAGTGCTGTATGTGAAGCTCAGAAACTTGTTGTTCAAGCTGCAGATCTGCTGCCACCCATTCATTCCAGCATCCAGTTTGGCATCCAGTCACAAAATGACACCACTAAAGGAGGTAACACATTTATACGGAAGAGGATTGGAGCCACTGATGAGAAAGAATTCTAACTGTTTTCTCAGAATTCTGACTTTAAAGTCCCATAGCTTTAACTAACTTGTACAACATAGTAGTTAATCCTGGAGCTGACACTCTTTGTTAATACTGATTGTGAATCGATTTAAACTGAGAATCGATTCTGAATCGAATCGGCACCCCAAGAATCGGAATGGAATCGAATCGTGAGTTGCTCTGAGATTCACATCCCTACAGGGAACGTTTTTTAAGTGACAAGTCTCTGAGAGACCGGGTTTAGAAAACACAGAATCTTCCTGCATGGTTCTGGTTCTGCGATGCGCTCCAAGATCCCGATCTACACATCTTCAGCTCGCTGTCGACCTTACGCATACGTCGACAACGAGCTGCGCTGAGCTCAGTGTCCCTCTCAGATGTTCTGATGGGAATCTTTTCCTGATCGATGTATATATATATATATATATATATATATATATATATATATATATATATATATATATATATAATGAATGTATGTATGTATGTATATATATGTATGTATGTGTATACATATATATATATATGTATATATATATGTATAAATATATGTGTATATATATATATATATGTATATATACACACACATATATAAATATATATATATATATTTGTGTGTGTGTATATATATATATATATATATATACACATACATACATACATACATATATATATATATAATATATATATATAATGAATGTATGTATGTATATATATATGTATGTACGTGTATATATATACATATATATATACACACATATATATACATATATATATATTTATATATATGTGTGTGTGTATATATATATATATATATACACACACACATATATATAAATATATATATATATATATATGTGTGTGTGTATATATATATATATACATATATACACACACACATATATATATATATATATATATATAGTGTATAGTGTAAGACTTACTTGTTAATAAGAAATCTGGCTAACTTTGCATCAGTCTACGTCTGTCCTCAAACGTTCATGCACGTTCTGTGATTGACATCTGTACATAAGCATATGGCTAACACTATTTGCTAATGTTGAGCGGCGCTCTATTAAAAATGCATGGGGCAAGTTTAGCAAAACAAATTGTGTTACCTACATTACATCACTGTACAGGGTAAGACTATCACTCTTATTGATTTACAAAGAAAACATACATCATTCTTGAAAAGGGGAGAACTCTCGATTGCTGCTTTAATGGTTCAAATTGAACCGGAGGCTCCTCCGGTATCAGATTGAAGAACTCCTTCGGGACCGTGAATGAAAGGTGCTCAGAAAGCTAACGGCTAGCAGCAGAGCTAACTATCCAGCAGTAGCAGGTTTGAGTGAATGTCCAGACACGGTGCTCTAATGGCAGCGATGATTTGGCGACGTCCATGCAGTGTTTTTGGGAAAAGCATTCATCCTTTAGTCAAACAGTATTGTATGTGTTCTGAGAGACGTGCAGGCTGATTTTACTCTGAACCACAGAAGTGGGAAAAAAATTCAGATTTCCCCCAAAAATAAATCTTCATAAATGGCCAATTCGACTATATAAAAATAAAATCTATTTACCGTCCACCCCTCAAAAAAGTTTATTTTTTACTTAATACTGTTATTTTTCTTGCAAATCCTGCAGATCACCCCATCATGATGGGCTTCGAGCCACTCGTTAACCAGAGACTGCTGCCGCCTACATTTCCTCGCTACGCCAAGATCATTAAACGGGAGGACATGGTGGCGTACTTCAGCAAACTCATTGAACGCATCAAGACCATGTGTGACGTGGTCAACACCACCAACCTACACGGCATACTGGTAAACTCATCATTTCTCCCTCAGTACAGGTTCAATCTGTTCTTGCAGTTCTGAATTCTCAGTAGTTTTCATGGATCTAAGTATGGTTTCAAACATCAAACCTTTTTCTTTCATCAGGATTTCTTCTGTGAATTCAGCGAGCAGTCTCCCTGTGTGCTCTCCAGATCTCTTCTCCAGGTTTGTGGCTTTCGTTCATCTGAAGAGTCTCTTATCATCCACCTAACTGTTTGTTGCTAATCGTATTCATTTTTATCCTACAGAAGATAATTGCTCTGCTTTACGTTGTTATTAAAAGAGCTTTTTTCTGTGATCTCAGACAACGTTCCTGATAGATAATAAGAAAGTGTTCGGCACCCACCTGATGCAGGATATGGTTAAAGATGCTCTAAGATGCTTTGTTAGCCCACCTGTCCTCTCCTACAAGTAAGTGAACATTTATTTAATTACAGAAACAAGGATTTGTTATTTATTTCTTTTCGCTTGTAGACAGTTTTCTGCTTTTGGCTCAGCATTCTGGGATGTTTTTGTCTCTAGTTTTGCTTTATTGTTTTTGGTGTGAATTATTGTGTGTTTTATTGTGTTTAGATGTTGTCTGTTCAACAACCACCAGGCCAAGGACTACATTGACTCTTTTGTTACTCACTGCTCCAGGGTACGTCACCTGCTGTTTTATCAGCTGCTTTTTAGGACTCCTGTATTTCACTGTTAGAGGTGTTGGAAGAAGGGAAATAAAGTTCAAAGAGAGGTTTTTGGAAACTGTATGTGATGCCTTTAATGTCTGTGTGTGTGTGTGCGTGCGTGCGTGCGTGCGTGTGTGTGTGTGTGTGTGTGTGTGTGTGTGTGTGTGTGTGTGTTTGTGTGTGTGTGTGTGTGTGTGTGTGTGTGTGTGTGTGTGTGTTTGTGTGTGTGTGTGTGTGTGTGTAGCCCTTCTGCAACCTCATCCAAATCCACGGGCACAACCGAGCTCGACAGAGAGATAAGCTGGGACACATTCTCGAGGAGTTTGCCACACTCCAGGACGAGGCAAGCTTCAAGCCTTTTCCTTGTTTGCTGCTGATTTTTATATTTATTTACCACAAGTCAAAGCAGCAATCCCGAGTTTTCCCCTTTTCATGAATTGCGTAGGATCTTTTAGAAATCCTTAAAAGGAGAAATGGAATAAATAAAATTGGTGTGTTTGCCCTATTCTGTTCTATAATGAAGGCAATTAGTGATGGGACTTGTGACTCTCTGAAGGGAACTGTTCGTTCAGAGACGTTTATCTCAAAGAGCCGTTTCAAAGATGAAGATGAACGGTTCTTTAAAACGAGTCGGGTCTCATCATTCACTCTGAAGTGCTGTTCAGATGATTCGATTTGTTCGTGAACATGACATAACCATTAGCAATACGTCAATTTTATTTTATTTTTTTCTTGCCGAGTGTCCTTTGTCCTATAGAGCAATGTATTTTGAACGGAGCACCACTTGGCATTAGCCAGTAGCGTTAGATATACACTTACATACAGAGGTAAATCACTGAGCATATATGCGGAAATTTCTAGACCGATGCAGAGTTAGCGACATTTCCTCTGGACAGATATGTCTTTGAAATGTTTTATATATATATATATATATATATATATATAGTGTATGTATATATATATATATATATATATATATATATATATTTATAGTGTATGTATATATATATATATATATATATATATATATTATGTATATATATATATCTACATTATATATATATATATATATATATATATATATATATATATATATATATACAGTACATAATATATGTGTATTTATATATATATTATATATATATATATGTGTGTGTGTGTGTGTGTATGTATATGTATATATATGTATGTGTATATATACATACATATATATATATATGTATGTATACATAAATATGTAGATGACAAAACTCTGGATTTCTGCTTTGACGAAAACACATTCACATAAGTTGTGTCACAGCAGCTGATTTTATTTATTTATTTTTTGGAGGGGGGGGGGGGGGGGGGGGCTGTGCCAGCAGCAGTAATGAGTCCATCACTTCTGTGTTGTGCAGGCTGAGAAGGTGGACGCAGCGCTGCATAGCCTACTGATGAAACTTGAACCTCAGCGGCAGCACCTAGCCTGCCTGGGCACATGGATTCTTTACCACAACCTGAGGATCATGATCCAGTATCTTCTGAGTGGCTTTGAGCTGGAGCTTTATAGCATGCATGAATACTATTACATCTACTGGTAACATTTTTCCTGTTTGCTTTAATTCTACTGGAAGCACCAGTTCTCCTCATAGTTCATGGGTTGTTTTTGTTTGTTCGTTTAGGTACTTGTCAGAGTTTCTTTATGCATGGCTGATGTCAACTCTGAGCAGAGCCGACTCATCTCAGATGGCAGAAGAGCGCATTTTGGAGGAGCAGCTGAAAGGACGCAGCAGCAAAAAGACCAAAAAGAAGAAAAAAGGTTTTCTGTTGATTTTCTGAGATTTGACACCTAATTTTCACATGAACGTGTTTGAAAATGCTTTCAGTCAAAGTTGAAGTTGAAGCTTATTTATGGGTTTATTTTTTGTTTTTCAGTTCGACCTCTCAACAAGGAGATAACCATGAGTCAAGCTTACCAGAATATGTGTGCCGGCATGTACAAGGTAAGCCAAGTACTGAGAGGGTGCTTGCTGTAGAACCACAAAGGCGGAGCTGCTTCAGAGTCAGCCCCGCCCATTCACGCAAACACAGCCTAGCCCAAAGACTTCTTCTGTTTTTGTTTTTTAACTTTATCGCAAACTAACCTGACCCACGTGAATTGTGGCTGTTACGAGTTTACAATTGTTAATGCTATGTTCTGTGCTCCAATTAAGCAAGATAAATATAATTTTCTACATGACAACGCCTGAATACATCCTGAAATGAAAAGGTTTCTCTCACAGGGTATCCGCGGGTCCTTAAAAAGTCTTAAAAAGGCTTAAATTAGCTTTTCCAAATTTAAGGCCTTAAAAATTACAAATAATCCTTAAATACGGTTTCCAAAGGTCTTAAATTACCAAAGACCCAATAAACAAGATTCTTTTATTTCTATAAAGTTTTTGTGAATTTCTAGGTAATGTTCAGCATTTTTGTGTATGATGTTGGCATGAGCGGAACCGTACACATTCAGTTGGTTGTGAAAGGGGGCTATTTTTAGATGAGCACATTAGCTGGTTAAGCTAGTGTGAGCGTGTGCCATGGGGAAGTGCAAGTTTAATTGTAACTGGATGGCTAATCCTACGTTTGCGATGTGGTTAGCACCGGTTCCAGGCAATAGCTGGAAATTATAGCTAAAATTTAATTTTACAAATAGCTTAAATTTGGTCTAAGTGGCATTTAAAATGTCTTAAAAGGTCTTAAATTTGGCTCCCTTACACCTGCAGATACCCTGCTCTCAGCAAATCTCTGCCCACAGCCGCTCCAACAAAAGGCGCCTTCAACAGCATTTTAGGCCTTTATAGTATGAGCTCTGGTAGTCCAATGGCATGATGGTCTGACTTAAGTTTTGTTTAGCCCTCTGCTGACGCCCGTTCGACTCTCGGTGGGTTCGGCAGTGATCTATTTAGCCTGCTGAAGCAGATTTAATTTCTTTATATTTTAGTTTTATTGATTATTTTCTGCAACGTCTTTTATGTCAACAAAAGTTGTTTGAATTTGGTCGTGCCTAAACAGCATTTTAGTTGAAAGTTCACACATGGACTCACACTGGCTAAATAAACAAATAAAATAAAAAACAAACACATTAGTCATTATATTTTAAACGGTTTACCAATAATTGGTTGAAAACGTAATACTGGCAAGTGTAGCTAGAAAGGAAGAAAAAAAGTTAATGCGGCAACGGCCTGCACATAACCAGTCTGACACCAAAATCACTTCACCACCACGTCTGTTAGGAACCAGTTGGCACCACATTTACTTGTGCCATCCAGTGTGGCTTTGTAGGCGGGATGTATGGTTTTTCCAGCAGTGCTTCAGTAGAAGTCGTTTCAGAAATAATTTGACAGAAAATCCACAGAATATCCAGATTTGAGGACCAAGATCAGGCCCGCTTCAAGGGGAGGAGACCAAATTGAAGCTGAGATGGGAGGAAAATGCATGAATGCAGCCAACAAAGGCTTTGGGGTATTTCTTATGAGGAAATGACAATATAACATGGTAAAAAGTTCCATTAGTTTGATTTTTTTAATTAAATGGAACCTTTACTAAAACTGTTCGCTTAACCTCTCAAGTCCATCCTCAGTCTTGTATTTTAGGTGATATTAGCTATACAGTAACGCCCTCTTTGGTTCCAGAATGCTATTAAGTCTGACAACTGGAAGAAATTGCACTGACTCTGGTGCAGCTCCGCCTTTGTGGTTCTGCAGCGAGCACTACCTGGAAGTACTAGTGACTCCTAACCGTCAGTTTGTGGCTCACTGAGGGATCGTTCCTCCTCTTCCTAGACCATGGTTGCTCTGGATATGGACGGGAAGGTGCGAAAGCCTCAGTTTGAGCTGGACAGTGAACAGGTTCGCTACGAGCATCGCTTCGCCCCCTTCAATAGCGTGGTTACCCCCCCGCCTGTGCACTACATCCAGTTCAAGGTACGGTCATCTGTTTTCCGTCGTTTCTCCTTCTCGCTTGCCTCTGTCAGTGTGCCCCAGGGCAGCTGTGGCTACATTGTAGCTCATCCCCACCAGCTTGTGAATGGATGAATGTTACACTGTAGTGTAAAGCACTTTGGAGTCCTCTGACTCTCAAAGGCGCTACACAAGTGTGGGTCATTTATCATATTCTCTGAATTAGCTTCTTTCTTTTTTTTTACCTCTTCCAGGAGATGTCTGATCTGAAGAAGTACAATCCTCCACCTGGCTCTGCAGACCTCTACCTGGCAGCTAGCAAACACTTTCAGCAGGCCAAGCTCATCCTAGAAAACATGCCCGGTCCGGACCCTGAGGTCAGGAAGAGAAGCTTTAATATGAGAAGTAGTTTGAAATTGTTGTGTAAATAATAGAAATGCACCAATTCTGGTTTAGAGAGCCGATACCAGTTTGGCTGAAAATGACCATGTTTATTTATTTATTTTATTTTATTTATTTATTTTGTTATGCACTGTCTTGAATATTTTTTGCAGTCACTAACAAATTATTAATTACAGGTGAATCGCATCCTGAAGGTGGCCAAACCCAACATCGTAGTTACGAAGCTTCTGGCTGGAGGTCACAAAAAGGAGACCAAGGTGACACAACGCACACATTAATACGTTTTAGTTTAGGAAGCAAGTACCACGTAACTTTTATAACTGTGGTTTGATATTCTCATTCATGTTCCTGCATCCCCAGGTTCTCCCAGAGTTTGACTTCTCCGGTCACAAGTACTTTCCTATTGTGAAGATCATCTGATTCCTCCCTGCTCTTTGGGATCAACGCCTCATCCACATGAATTAAGTGTGCTGACCCAGTCTGTGTCTGAACAGTGTTGTTTAAAACACCCGACTTCAGCTTCATGTAAACGAGTTTCTGATATTTGTGTTTGTTTTCCACTGTAATGAGATCCAACTCATGAAAACAGACCAGAAAACTCAGCTGGATCTGAATAATGGCCGCATGTGCATTTGTTGGAAGTTTGAGTGTGTTTTTTTTATTCTGGGGTATAATTGTGTTATGCAATAATGGATGGAAATGACTCAGAACAATCTTGTAAAGGATGCAGATGATGGGTGCACATCATTAAATGATATGGAACTTTTAGTTTGTTTTTATTTTTATTGGCAGTCTTTCATCAGAAAATGTCTGTGAAGGTTTTCAGTCATCAGAAAAGAAATATATTCTCTGCCTGGTTAAAAAAAATGGATTTATAGTGGCGATGTGTATCTGCTTGCGATGTTGGGCAGTACATAGCTGAATCATTACAAACAAGTGGTATTTTTGTGTTTGTAACCCGTTTCACACTGAAAGCATCAGCAGAATGTCAGCGTGTTGCAGCCTTTGTGCCGCCACAAATGTATAACGCTGATTTGCCAGCATGGTGTGTCTTCCAAAAAGGCCTACTGTCACTTAACATTCATGAACTCACCCATCTTGACTGACGATGGTTTAAGTTGCAGGTGTTTTGGTGTCCAAGAAACAGCACAGAACATCTAGGCTAGTAGAAGCTAACCATTAGCAACTCCATGCACCAGAACTCCTCCAGGCTTGTTATCTGTAGAGATTAAACATCCACAACGCAGAGCAAATGGAGTAGTGGGAGAACCGTGTTGCTGTCAATCAGAAGGGAAATGTCCAAATATCAGGATATAAGACTCTGGCAGAATTTTCTGTGAAACAGGCACACTGGAGCTTTGTTTCCCCAGAATATGTCTTACAAGGCATTCATTCATACTACAGACTGCTGCAAATGTATTAAAATAGGAATGAAGGCGGTCTTTAAATAAGCAGTTTCAAACTACTGCACGAGTGATGTTTCAGCTGTTAGTAGTATCATACAAGCAATGATCATTCTGCTGATTTCATATTCTCAAGAATAAAATCATTTGTATTTGTTACGTCCCCGACAGGAGGTGTTAAAATGTGAAGGAGGGGGTAACATAAGAAACATGATCGTGGGTTTAAAATGCGTTTAATTGTTACAAAAGGTTCCAAAAACAACACCAAAGTTTTATCCAGGTGGTTAAATGTTGGTAAGTGGTCCTTTAAATGTTAACCTTTTAGTCTTGGTTTTTTTGTTTGGCATTATTTTAATAATGCTTTCCATCTGTTTTGCGCTTGTTTTTAGAACCTTTTATAGCAATTTTAAACCCACTATCATGTTTCTTATGTTACCCCCTTTTTCACATTGTAACACTCCCTCTCAAATTCTATTCAAATTCAAAAATACTTTATTAATCCCAGAGGGAAATTGATTAAATCGGGGACGTAACTAAAATTTAGAACAGAAAATAACCTTTTTAAGTCTTTGATGATAAATAAAAAAAAAGAAAAAATTAATTTTGCTTGTAATTTGTGTGAAACACAAGGAAATGTTCATGCTTTATTCTTTTACTCTCATAATTAAACTTTTGTGTTTTGTGGTGTCAGTTGTGTCTGACAAGGTTAAAGTCCTCCCTGAATTTGAAAGCGGTTTCTCTGTTATTCAAATAACTGCAATAACGTAATTGTTAACTTAAAGGGGCCATAGCATGGAAAATCCACCTTTTGGAGCTTTTCAGCATGTGATAGTGTTGTTTCCTCATGAAAAATACTCCCAAACCTACTTTGGGCTGCATTCGTGTATTTTTCTGTTTCAGCTGCCAATTTTGAATTTTATTCTGAAATTCGTGAAATGCAGAGACGTCATTCCTCCCGACACCAGACCCTGCTCGCCATCTGCAAATAAATTTGTATCTACGGCAGTTTTCTGCTGACCTCTGTCACACACACACAAACACACACACACACACACACACACACATTTTGTTAAATTCAGTGCAGTTTACTGCACTCCACAAACCTTTCAACAAACAATTGAAGAAATAGAAAATAAACTACAACAAGACTCGGGTTTGCAAAAAGCTCCTATTAAAAAAACAAAAAAGCATCTCCTTTTACAGAGTAACTATTTTAAGACGTGTAAAGGACCTCCTCCTGCTGCTTTCTGGAACTTTTTCACAAGATATTTAACAAAACAACTTTTCTAAATGTAATTCGACTGTTTAACTTCTTAAAACACAAATGTGGTTGGAATTTGTGTTCAGAAGCGGTCGTTTCTCACTAAACCTCTTGAGAAGTGGTCTGATAAGCACATGTCACTTTGAGATGATTTAGAAGGGAAATATATATATATAAAATAAAATCCACATGAAATGGTTTTTATTTAACAAACATTTATTGTCAATAAAATATTTTGATGCTAAAATAGAGAAAAACAAATCAAATTGGCAAAATGTCAATAAAATTAATGAAAATTCAAAATCCTAAAACATTTCTCTTTAGCACATATGTGTCCGGGGGGGGGGGGGGGGCACACTAAGAGGCGTTATGATGAAAATGTTACAAAAGTAAAAACATCACCATAAAAAACACTAAAGGAAAGTAAAGCAATGGAAAGGCAGACAATTGGGGAACTAGGAATCAATCAGCTGATTAATCAAAAACTGAAAAAAAAAGTTTCCCGTTTGTCTTCGGTCACAAACTTTACTAAAAACTGTGCAACACAAAATCGTTTTTGCAGCCCTCAACAATCAGGACCCGACTTCTTACGTAGAATTATATTGTGCCGCTCCAAACTGCACAAGGCAACTGACCAAAAACACAAAACTGCTGCTAGATTACAAATGAACAAAACTTGACAGGTGACATCAAGCTTAGTGTTCAACATAACATTTGCATTTTAGACCGGTTTTAAAATATGCACAAAAACAGAGATCACATATTTAGATAAAATCAGAACTAAAAAGCTTTTAGATTTTTTCTTTCTTACAAAATCTGAATTTACATTCGCGTTTTAGCTCTTCTCTTCCAAATCAACAATAAGTGCTAAACTTTAATTACAACAGCCACAACCTACAGCAGGAAAGCCTCTGGATAAGCAAATAAAGGCATTTTGATATCTACAAGGTCACTCCTTCATTCTGATGATAATCAAATCATTATGAGAATGAAACGGCGAGCTCTTGGAGGTCTTCTCTATTTTACCACATAGATGTGATAAAAACACAGTTAGATAAAGCACAAGGCAAAAAATGTATCCTCCAAACCGTCTGATTTCACTTTCTTTGTTAATCCGTGACTCTAGTGCTTTTCTTTTTGCACTGACCCAAACACTTTTCAGCTCAGAGTCACTTAATGTGGAAACAGACAAACTTAAGAGTCACTTCTGAACTCTTCACACACAAAAACACAACATTCGTACTTTGCAGAAATGTTAATCATATAGTTTTAAGAATCCCTGGATTTTTCCTGCACAAACATCCGCTCTGATCCTTGAGTGAACGATAACAGACCCGATGAGGCGTGCTGCTGCACATATGACCTCCAGTTTTTAGCTATTCCTATTTATCAAAACAAACCCTGCCTTTTAGGAAGCTTTGAAGAGGTTGGAATATAAAATGTTTTGAAGCCAAAACATCTGAATGCTTCAACAAAGATGGGTTGGCGATAATTGGCTATTTATGAAATAACGGCAATAATTAAATGCATCAGCATCTTACCTTTATGCTTTTTTTGGTGAAATGTCTAAACCTGACCTGAATCTGAAACCTAAAATGACTAACTAAACCCGCATTTCTGAAAATCTGGTACTTAACAAGAAATACAGCATTTATGATGTCCTTCAGTCATGCAAAACCTCAGATGGTTAAATAATTCTGCAACACTGGCCCAGAATTAAATCCCATGTTAATGAGAAACTTCATATTCAGAGAAGAGACCTGTGCTGCAGAGCCCTCTGCTGGCAGAAAGCTGTCACAGCAGCCACAGTATTTCACACGCTGTATGTAATCCAACCAGTGTGCACACAACTCACACCTGTTCAAGTCAACATTCCGCACATCAACACCATCAAAATCTTCTCATTTTCATTCATGTCGATCAGATCTGTTTCCAAAAACCAAATGGTGTCACTTCTTCAGATGTTTTAGTCATCTTGGCAACTCATCAACTGAGCCAAAGGGGAAAAAAAAGAAACAACTTTCAAGTAAAACAATTAAATTAAAAAGACCATCTGGGATTTTTCCTATCAGCAAAGTTCCACATAAAAACATTTTTTGCAGCTGATCTGTGAAGAACAAGCAGTTTCTCTTCTCTGATGTGGAAGATCCATCAACTCTGTCTCTGCAAGGAGATTCAGGTATTAGTGACGGCAGCTTCTGTGGAGCTAAAGCTGGTTCTGCTGGTTTATCAGGACAAAAAAAGGCCATACACGATCCAGATCTGACAAGTATGATAGTGTATTGCCGTGTACCTTAGATCTGAGCAAGGGCAGCTTGCTTGTCTGCTTCAAACTCTCCTTCGTTTTCATCATCCCCATTATAGTCGGCTAGTTCCTCCTCCATCTCCTTGTCTGTAAAAGAGCAAAACGTAAATATAAACAGAAGCCACAATATAAACATAAATAAAACCTGTCATTTAAACAAACACCTCCAAGGGTCTAATGTAAACAAATCCGAAGGGAGCTGAGGACACAAGCTCTCAGACGTCTCACATACTTATGTTTTCACCTTGTTTGCTCCTCTGCTGTTTCTCCAAATCAACTCCACCCACCACCTGCTCATCACCATCATATTCATCTGGTTCCTCGAGCTTCTGGCCCACAGGGGTCTCATCTGGTCTCCCCTGATCGATCAGCATGCCCTCCATACCAGGGTCGGGTTCTGAAAGTACAAACCGGTGTTTCATCTCTGATCAGTTCACACCGTCCCCGAAGCTGAAAACGGAAACACCTGGGTTTACAGGCTGATCTGTTTGCTTTGTGTCTCGCTTTAGTAAAACTCTGACCTGGAGGCATTAGCAGAACAGTTGATGATGTAAAATATATATATTTACCATTTTATAAGTATAAACACATCTGCTGTTTTTTTTCTCTTTAATTAAAAGTAATTACCTTCTGTCTGAGCACCTTCATCATGAGTATCCATCACCTCCATGCTTTTATTCTCAGTCAGATCCTCCTTCCTGTCTTTGCTGATCTTGGCCTCAGCCACAGCTGTGTCTGCATCCAGGTCTTCCTCTCCTGGCTGATGTTTGTCCTCCTTGACCACAGCAGTTACGGGAGCCGTAACTTTGGAGACATCCTTTGTTTGAGACTGATCTAAGATCTCGGAATCTGAAAATAAACAAGGAAGAATCTAAAATACATCCATCCATTTTCCTCCTCTTATCCAGGGTCGGGTCGTGGGGGCAGCAGCCCAAGCAGAGAGGCCCAGACTTCCCTCTCCCCAGCTAATTGGGCCAGCTCCTCCGGGGGATCCTAAGGCATTCCCTGGCCAGCCGAGAAACATAGTCCCTCCAGCGCGATCTTTTAGGTCTTCTCCCAGTTGGACGTGCCCAGTAAACCTCACCAGGAAGGCATCCCAACAATGCTTGAGCCACCTCAACTGCCTCCTCCAAGCCCCTCCCAGATGACAGAGCTTCTCACCCTAAGGGAGAGCCCAGACACCCTGCAGAGAAAAGTCGTATTGGCCGCTTGTATCTGTCATCTTGTTCTTTCGATCACTACCCAAAGCTCGTGACCAAAGGTGAATCGAGAGCTTTGCCTTCCGGCTCAGCTCTCTTCACCAAAACAGACCGGTACAACGCCTGCATCACTGCCGACAAAGAACCAACCCACCTATTGATCTCGCACTCCATCTTTCCCCCGCTCGTGAACAACATCCTGACATACTTAAGCTTGGTTTATGCTTGACGCATTCACTTTCCGCTTGGTGACGCGGCTCGCGGCTGGAACGCGCTTCACAACTCGCAGCGTTTAAGGTTCATGAGGCTCGTCTCTGCGGTGAGCCAATATTCTCCCAAACTGTAGGGGGCAGTATGGAGCTCTACAGCATGCATCCAACACTACACCATAGTAGAAGTAGAAATTACTGTTTACAACATGGCATTCCAGCATTTTTTAACAGCGTCCTCGTCTTTTCCGACAGTGCGAGCTATTTCTCTCCAAGAATTATAAACAACATGTTGATCACGGTGATCTCTGAGAGCTGAATCATACAAATGTCTGTATTTACGAACCTCTGCCACACTAGTTCTTGCCGGTCCGCCATGTTTTTCCATGTCTGACCGCCCGCATGGTTGGAAAATTTCCTAGGTGCAAACATTTTGGGCCGTGCGGAGGTGCTGTGGAGGGGCGTGGTTGTTGAAATGACGCAATTTCGCCGCGCGGACCTCACGGACACGTCAAGCATAAACCAACCTTTACTCCTGCATTTGGGGGAGGACCTCATCCCTGACCCAGAGAAGGCACTCTACCCTTTTTCGACTCGAGACAATGGTGTCAGATTTAGAGGAGCCGATTCTCATCCCAGCTGCTTCACACTCAGCTGTAAACCACTCCGGCAAAAGCCAGAGTCTGATGAAGCCAACAGGACCACATCACCTGCAAAAAGCAGAGGCCCGATCCTCAGGCCACAAATACTGATCCCCTCAACACCTTGGCTGCACCTAGAAGTCCTGTCCATAAAAGTTACGATCAGAATCTGTAAAAAAGGGCAGCCTTGGCGGAGTCCAACTCTCACTGGGAACAAGCCCGACTTACTGCCGGCAATGAGGCCCGAGCTCTGACGCCAGTCATACAGGGTCCTAACAGCCCGTATCAGAGGGCCTGGTACCCCATAATCCCGAAGTGCCCCCACAGGGCCTCCCGAGGGATGGGGTCGAACGCCTTCTCCAAAACTAACATGCTGACCATAAACTACAACAAGCAGATGACAACTGCTCAAGGTTTTACCTTTGTCAGTGATGACATCGTTGGTGTGCGTTTGAGGGGATTCATTTCCTTTAGGCAGAGGGATGATTGGAGTGTGGCCAAGAACGAATGTTGTTTGAACTTCGCCAGCTACAGTTTTAACCGTTGAGCCCATTTTCTCTGCTCCCTTCTCCTGTGGGGTGGAGGTCATACACCATTAATGCTCACGTCACAAACAGAAGAACCCAGCATTTGAAAAATGCAAACTAACTTCCACTTGTGAGGAGACGCCTGCAGGCTTCTCCGTTTTCCTCTGGATTTCACGTTTTTCAGCAGCCAGTTTCTCATCACACAGCTCCTTCTGGGACTGGACCCTGGACTCGCACCGAGTCCTGCTCACAAAAACAATTCACCTGAACCAAACCTGCTGACAGAAACTCGTGTGAAGATCTACACAAACGTGTGCTGACAGGTCAGATGTTAATTTCTTGTCGAGGGAGTCCATGTTGCCCTGGCAGCTCTGCAGCGTCTTCTGAAACTTCCCCAAGTCACCATTCAGCTGATTCAGCTGACCTGCAGAACACCCGGTACAATGTCAAAGTCATTTATTCATTTTTAGTTCGTTTAGTTAGTAGTCAATTTTCACTGCTACCTTTGAGATCCTGAATTGTTTTGGTGCTGGAGGAAATATTCTGCTGCAGCTTTGTCTAAATACAAAATATAGCAACAATATTAACATTTTTAACCATAAATAGGGTTGGGCATCGTTTGATTTTGAACAATTCCGATTCCAATTCCTTGTTTCGATTCCGGTTCCTATCGATTCCCGATTCTGGATCTTTGAAGACATGACATGCTTTACATGAGCTATCTAACCACAGGTCCTACTTGAAGAAATAATCTTAACTTCAGCATGAATTTTAATTCTATGAACAACAACATCACCTTCATTTAGACAAAAACATGTTTTGGAGAAGAAAACAAAAGAAAAAGACTTGCAGCACAACCAGTGTGTTTGTTTCTGACCACAACCAAAGTCTGGAAGAAGCCTCTGGGATGAGAGGCTAAATATCTCCAACATATCCAGAAACATCCAGCTGTTTTCAGCTAAAACTCTCAGGATGATCATGTCCAGGATGACTGAGAACTACACCTCCATGCTGCAGCAGCATTCAGTCAGAACAGGAAGTGAAACTTAAACGTAGCTGCTGTCGGTAACAATCTAACAGATTTAAACATTAAAACTCAACAGAAATAGTTCAGAAAGGAAACTAAAATGTTCACAACTTTGTGTGTGATTTATTATTATTATTACTTATTGTGGCAGAAGCTGGTGTGGTCCACCACAGAGAAGCTGCTCTAGCATGATGACTTTAATTATTCTACAGGTTATGGTTCAGCCTTCTGACGCTCTGTGTGTTTTTATTTCTGCAGTGAGACAAACTCACCTCACACTGTCCAGAGTTTGTTCTTTAAAGCTTCTATTAAATCCTCCATGTTGACGTCTTTTAACAAGTTCCCTCTACGCTGCAGGAGTTAAAGTTTACATAACGGAGTAAAAGTTCGGCAGACGCGTTTGTTTATATTTTGCCGCTGCGTGCGGGTGGGGGGAGGGGGGACTCGGTGCTGCACACAGACAGCTGGTGTGATCAGCTCTGAAAAGTGTTGATCACAATTTGCAGATCACCTTTATGTTTCCACGGAGATCGGCCGCGGATTCCTCTTCCGTCGGCATTCTAGGAATCGAAATAAAAAACACTGAGCGATTCCGGGAAAAATGAACAGTTGGAACCGGTTCCAATCGATGCTCGATTCTCGATGCCCAACCCTAACAGTGATCAAAAAGCTTCCATGAAAATACAAACAACTTTTTGACACCAAATGGTGTTAAAGTTCACCTTCTCTTGGCTGCAGGTGACCTGTGCTCCTTCTAGTTGCCTCTTGTACATGATTTCTATGCGAGTGATCTGCTCCTTCTGCTTCTGGATCTCCTCCTGAAACTCCGCCTTCTTGGTCTCTGCAGCTCCTCGCTCAGCTGCTCCACGTCTCACCTGGCCTTCCAGCTCATACAGCTTGGTCTGTGGGACACATAGGAGCTCCTATTAGATCAAAACGGTGGGAATTCATACAGAAATAAAATGTAAACATGGGAGGATTGATTTACGAGTATCTAATAAATGCAGCTTTTGCATCTTTAGTAAAATATGTTGTACTTAATTCTGTGTGGTCATTTTGACAGTAGTCACATTTTATCTGCATGTGTTCAGATTCAGATTGCCGTAGTAGCAGCATGTGTGGAATATTAACATTATCCACTCAGTTTGTTCCCTACTGCAGAAATATGAATAAAGTCTTGTTTATTTAGAGGAAAGGGTTTTAGACTTTTTGCAGACATTTGCTTTATGCTATCATTGTGCTTCCATATGTAATGTTTGCACTAGAGTCATCAACCTAGTTTTTATTACAAATAACAAATGATATGTTCAAAAGTTGGGCTGCACGGTGGCGCAGTGGTTAGAACTGTTGCCTCGCTTCCCGGCCTGGGATCTTTCTGCATAGAGTTTGCATGTTCTCCCTGTGCATGCGTGGGTTCTCTCCGGGTACTCCGGCTTCCTCCCACAGTCCAAAACCATGACTGTTAGGTTGATTGGTCTGTCCAAATTATCCTTAGGTGTGTGTGTGTTTGAGATTGTTTGTCCTGTGTGTCTCTGTGTTGCCCTGCGATGGACTGGCTCTCTGTTCAGGGTGTACCCCGCCTGATTGCCCATTGATCGATGGAGGTAGGCACCAGCGCCCCCTGAGTGAGCTAAATTAAGATGGCGACTGCTCTGTAGTGGTCCAATCACAGTGCACTATTGGTTTGGTGGGCCAATCACTGCCTTCTGTTGATGGGCGGGATGTTATTGAACAAACAAATATGGCAAAAGTTTGTTTATAACACCCTTGAAATTTAATTTTGACATCTGTAGAGGTGGATACAACATGTTTGTTATCAAATAGCATGCAGAGACACGTTTGAAAGTCAACCGTAGATCCCGCCCCACGTCTAAGAGCCGTCAATGGTCTGTGGCCAGACTTTATATTCACATATATAGGATGGCTTGCCAGGCTAAGAAACATGAGGATTTTAAATTAATTAAGACCAAGATGTTTGTTTATTCAATATATAATTTAAAAGTTAATCATAATTTCAGACATTGTATTCTTGGGAATGACACTTGACCCTCCTTGCCTGCTGACGGTGATCAGAGGGAACCAGTGTAGCAGCCTAATGAGGCCTAATGGGTGTAACATGAAGCCCTTTTAGTTCCTCTGAAGTCTACAGAAATCCTTAGACTTAAAAAAGTGTGATACAAAATATCAATTATATATATATATATATATATATATATATATATATCATACATTTATAATAACTATATTATAAAAAAATAAGCCAAACCTACTTGTAGCTCCAGGTTTCGAGAGCTGGACACCCAATAGTTAAATCCCAGAACCAAGATACAAGCAACCAGAGCTGCAATCATCAAAGGGGGGGATCGTCCTCCACGACGGCCGTTCCCCAACCCACCCATAGTGATCTAGAAACTGGACACACACATACACAAAACACGGTCATAATCAGATCATATGATTGTTACCGTAAAGGCTTTTTAAACTGGTACTTTGCATCTAACAAGAGACAAATATTTTTGTTAAATAATCATTTTAAGACACAAAAAGCAGTTTCAGAACTTCTAATTAGAAGTATGTGTCTCAGATTAAACCCGATTAACTTCTTGGTGTCAAAAGAGAATGAGAGATAATATTTCTGCACTTGTCTTTGTCATAAAAGGAATTCAACTCTGTAGCTAGAAGCCCCAGTTTGATAAGCAGGACATTTTGCAGGACATTTTATAGACCTATTAATTTACTGATTTAATAAAACTTTTAAAAACCCACTTCCAGTGTAAACAATATTCACAAAACCAAATTAGCATTAGTGGGGATTTACAAGAGGACAAAGTAATGAAAATTGAGAAATACTTCCTGTTAAATATTGATTATGACTACAGTTAAAGTACAAACAGCTGGAGGTAAAATCGCCATTCAAATCTAAATATAAAGAAAACACCACATAAAGATCCTGCTGATTAGTCAACGTGGAATCCAAATGCTTTTCTGATAAAATAGCAAAGACAAACCAGAACAAATATAACTAACAAAATAACAATCAATGAGAATTGTGAAAAACTATCAAATCACAGGAAAATTAAGCTAGTTTGTCATAAACAATACATAAACAGACACGTTTTTTAAGGATCAAAACAAACACTGTTCCAACACAATTAGTATCGATTACATGTACAACTAAATTCGAACCCCTTAATTATATCATTGATTAAACACTGACGGCCAAACAAACAAAAAATAAACCCTTAATGTGAATCGTCTCTCTCGTAACCACCGTAGACGCTAATGCTAACTTCCGTTAGCAACAAAGCGTGAGTTGACATCAGACAAGCAGCGTAATCATCCACCTATCAGATATGACAGAACCAAAACATAAAGCAAATATTTAGCCAGGTATGTAGAGCGAAGTTCTGTGATGAGTACCAAAAAAATTCTGTTCCTCACGGAAATAAAAACGCTTCAGCGCCCTTGCAAACTAGCTCCTGCCCATTACTGCTACACCAACAGCCGTGGCTGAACTGTCGGTGGGTCCGCACCATTTACAGACACCGGTTCACGTAGCGGTGTGGGGACTAGGTGGGTGTCTGGTTTTAAATAAAACATTAGCCCCGCTCAGAGGTTCCAGAGGGAATAACAGCCCTTTTTTCCCTTGTACGAGCTGCTGTGTGGAAGTCCATAGTACACTGATAAAAAAAAATCTATGTAATTTCATAATCATGACATTAAAGTGTCTCATAATAGTGAGAGTATCTCATAATAATGAGACACTACCTCATTAAAATGAGATAGTGTCACATAATTATGACTTAGCTATATCTTAATTATGAGATTCGAGATACTATCTCACCCTTTTTGGAGTCCCTGGGACGAGTGCTAGATAGAGCTCCACCAGGGGACTCCATTGTCCTGCTGGGGGACTTCAGTGATCACGTGGGCAATGACAGCATGACCTGGAGGGGTGTGATTGGGAGGAAAAGGCCCACCTGATCTGAACTAGACTGGTGTTTCGTTATTGGACTTCTGTGCAAGCCGCAGTTTGGCCATAACGAACACCATGTTCGAACATAAGGATGCCCATCGGTACACTTGGTACCAGGGCAGCCTAGGTCGCAGGTCGATGATAGACTTTGTAGTTGTATCATCTGACCTGCGGCCGTATGTTTTGGACACCCGAGGGAAGAGAGGAGCGGTGCTGTCAACTGATCACCACCTGGTGGTGAGTTGGATCAGATGGCAGGAGAAGATGACGCGTAGACCTGGCGGACCCAAACGCATAGTGAGGGTCTGTTGGGAACGTCTGGCAGAAGAACCTGTCAAGACGGTCTTAAACTTCCACCTCTGGCAGAGCTTTGACCGCGTCCCGAGAGAAGTGGGGGACATTGACTCCGAGTGGGCCTTGTTCCACTCTGCGATTGTTGAGGCGGCTGTTGCTAGCTGTGGTCACAAGGTGGCCGGTGCCAGTCGTGGTGGCAACCCCCATATCTGCTGGTGGACACCAGAGGTTCGGGGAGCCGTCAGGCTGAAGAAGGAGGCCTACAGGGCGTGGCTTGTCTGTGGGTCTCCGGAGGCAGCAGACAGGTACCAGATAGCCAAGCGGGGTGCAGCAGTGGCAGTTGCCGAAACAAAATCTCGGGCGTGGGAGGAGTTTGGTGAGACCATGAAGAAAGACTATCGATCGGCTCCAAAGAGGTTCTGGCAAACTGTCCGGCGCCTTAGGAGAGGGAGGCAGCAACTCGCTCACACTGTTTACAGTGGGGATGGGGAGCTGCTGACATCAACTGGGGCTATAGTCGGATGGTGGAAGGAATACTTTGAGGAGCTCCTCAATCCCACCTATGCGCATTCCGAGGAGGAACCAGAGCCGGGAGACCTGGGGATGGACTGTCCAATCTCGGGGGCAGAAGTTGCTGAGGTAGTCAAACAACTACGCAGCGGCGGAGCACCGGGGGCGGATGAGATTCGTCCTGGGTATCTCAAGGCTATGGATGTTGTAGGGCTGCCGTGGTTGACACGTCTCTGCAACATTGCATGGTCATCGGGGACAGTTCCTGTGGAGTGGCAGACTGGGGTGGTGGTCCCCATCTTTAAGAAGGGTGACCTGAGGGTGTGTTCCAACTATAGGGGGATCACACTCCTCAGCCTCCCTGGAAAGGTCTACTCTAAGGTACTGGAGAGCAGGGTCCGATCGATAGTTGAATCTCAGATTGAGGAGGAGCAATGTGGTTTTCGTCCTGGCCGTGGAACTGTGGACCAGCTCTATAACCTTGCAAGGGTGATGGAGGTGGCATGGGAGTTTGCCCAACCAATCCACATGTGTTTTGTGGATTTGGAGAAGGCTTATGACCGTGTCCCCAGGGGCACCCTGTGGGGGATGCTCCAGGAGTATGGGGTGGGTGGCTTTCTGATAAGGGCCATTCAGTCCCTTTACCAGAGGAGCATGAGTTTGGTCCACATAGACGGTAGTAAGTCGGACCTGTTCCCGGTGAGGGTTGGACTCCGCCAGGGCTGCCCTTTGTCACCGGTTCTGTTCATTACCTTTATGGACAGAATTTCTAGGTGCAGCCGTGGTGTGGAGTGTGTCGAGTTTGGTGGCAGGAGAATGTCGTCTCTGCTTTTTGCGGATGATGTGGTCCTCCTAGCTTCATCCAGCTCTGACCTTCAGCTCTTGCTGGGTAGGTTCGCGGCCGAGTGTGAAGCGGCTGGGATGAGGATCAGCACCTCCAAATCTGAGACCATGGTTCTCGACCAGAAAAGGGTGGCTTGCCAACTCCGGGTCAGGAGAGAGGTCCTACCTCAAGCGGAGGAGTTTAAGTATCTTAGGGTCTTGTTCACGAGTGAGGGTAGGAGGGATCGGGAGACTGACAGGCGGATCGGCTCGGCGTCTGCATCACTGCAGACGCCGAGCCGATCTGTCGTGGTGAAGAGGGAGCTGAGCCAGAAAGCCAGGCACTCGATTTACCGGTCAATCTACGTCCAAATCCTCACCTATGGTCATGAGCTTTGGGTAATGACCAAAAGAACGAGATCGCGTATAAAGCGGCCGAAATGAGTTTCCTCCGTAGGGTGGCCGGGCTCAGCCTTAGACATAGGGTAAGGAGCTCGGACATTCGGGAGGGACTCGGAGTAGAACCGCTGCTCCTCCGGATCGAAAGGAGTCAGTTGAGGTGATTTGGGCATCTGGTCAGGATGCCTCCTGGACGCCCCCTGGGGAGGTGTTTCGGGCATGTCCTGCCGGCAGGAGGCCCCCAGGTTGACCCAGGGCACGTTGGAGAGGTTACATCTCCAATCTGGTCCGGAACGCCTTGGGGTCCTGCCGGAGGAGCTGGTGGAGGTGGCTGGGGAGAGGACGGTCTGGAGCTCCCTAGTTGGTATGCTGTCCACGTGACCCGGACCCAGATAAGCGGAGGAAGACGAAGACGACGAGATACTATCTCATGAGATGTTTCCTGACTTAGCTACCTCCTAATATTGATATTGTAATTACAAGATAGTGACATCATAATTATGAGATTCTATCACAATTATAGCTTAGCTATCTCATAATAATGAGATAGTAAAGTCAATAAGGTTAGATCTAGCATCTCTCCTTCAGACTTATCGTTGCCTCTCCCGACTCCAACCAGGCCCATCAACCTAGATAGCTTTGCTCCTGTTTCTTTGCCTGAGTTAACCAAACTAGTTAACTCTATGAAGACCTCTGCATGCCCCCTCGACATCTTACCCTCATCTTTGTTTAAAAGTGCTTTTCAGTCCATCGGTCCCAGCGTGCTCTCTATAATTAATGCTTCTCTGGTCTCAGGTCAGGTCCCTGCTTACTTTAAGAATGCTGTAATCCACCCGCTTCTTAAAAAACCGAGTCTCGACCCCTCTCTCCATAGCAGCTTCAGACCCATCTCTAAACTTCCGTTCATCTCCAAGATCTTGGAAAAGGTTGTGGCTAAACAACTCACAGCTGCTCTTGATGAACATAACATCTATGATAGCTTCCAGTCAGGTTTTCGTAGAGCTCATTCTACTGAAACAGCTCTTCTTAGGGTCTCTAATGACCTTCTGACTCACAGTGATGCAGGGGACTGTTCTGTTCTGGTCCTGCTGGACCTGACTGCAGCCTTTGACACTGTTGACCATCACCTGCTACTGGAGAGGCTGAGAGACTGGGTAGGCCTATCAGGATCTGCTCTGGAGTGGTTCTCCTCTTATCTCTCTGAGCACTCCTTTTCTGTGGCCGTCTCCAAGTTTAGGTCCTCCACCACCTCCCTTACCCATGGTGTCCCACAAGGTTCTGTGCTGGGGCCTCTGCTCTTCCTCCTCTATCTGCTTCCTCTTCAGCACATCCTGAGCTCCTTTAAAGGAATCTCCTACCATCTTTATGCAGATGACATCCAACTGTACATCTCCTTTAAGCCCCATGAGATGTGTAAGCTGCAGCTGTTACACTCCTGCTTAGACTCTATCAAAACCTGGATGGCTGGGAGCTTTCTTCAGCTGAATGAAGATAAGACTGAGATCCTCATCTGTGGCCCAGACAAGCTGGTTCCCAAAGTCAGAGACTCTCTTGGTCAGCTTGCTTCTCACACCAAACCTTCTGTCAGGAATCTTGGCGTGACCTTTGACCCAGCTCTCACCCTGGATTCTCATGTCAGTTCTCTTGTTCGCTTTTCCTTCTTCCATCTCAGGAACATTGCTAAGCTGAGTCCCATTCTGTCTCGCTCTGAACTTGAGACAGTTATCCACACCTTCATCTCCTCACGCTTAGACCACTGTAACTCTCTTTTCACGTGTCTAAGCAGAACCTCCCTGAACCGTCTACAGGTGGTTCAGAATGCCTGTGCTCGGCTTCTGACCAAGTCCTCCAAACACACCCACATCACCCCGCTTCTCCTCCAGCTTCACTGGCTGCCAGTCAACTTCAGGGTTCATTCCAAGATGCTGGTTCTGGTCTATAGGGCCTTACATGGACAAGCACCATCTTACATTGGTGATCTTCTTAGTCCCTACACCCCCAGCAGGTCCCTGAGGTCCAGTGATCAAAGCCTACTGGTTGTGCAGCACCAGGCTAAAGACCAAAGATGACAGATCATTTGCTGCTGTGGCCCCCAGACTCTGGACCTCTCTCCCCCTGAGCCTGAGATCAGTGGACTCAGTGGTCTCCTTTAATAAGCAGCTGAAGACTCACTTGTTCAAGCTGGTTTTTGTATGACCTTCTTCACCACTCTCTTTATTCTGCTCTCCCCACCTATTCCACCTTCCTCAGGATCCACTGATTCCCCTCTTTCCTATTCACTCTCTCTCTCTTTCTTAACATTTTTTAATCACAATTGCCTATTTTTGCTTATTTTAAATATATTTTTCACATTTTCTAAATGCTTTTTTTATATTTTTACATTTTTTGTTTTTGCGAAGCGCCTCATGATTTTTATCTTGAGAGGCGCTATAGAAATGATACTTTCTTCTTCTAGTAATTTTTATGATAGTTAAGTCGTAATTATACGTTTTTTGTAATCAGAGTGGCAGGAATGGGCTTCCATAGTTTCTGTACGTCCAACTTTTGACTCAAAAATAATTCACCACCAAAACAGTTGTGTCTAATCCCATAACACAAGGGTCTATGTTGTGTTACCTAAACATAAACACATAAACATTAAAAGTAAACATGCTTTTTTTAATTATGTTTCAGTAAAAAAAAAAATTGTATTCACAATCTCAGAAAAAAATAATTTATGAAATTCTCTTTAAAATATAGTGCGTATACAGCTCTTGAACACATTATAAAACAAAGATTGTAAAAATTGTCTCACATGTTTTACTTCGGGCTCAAAAAGCTTATGCTTTAAATAGAAATGTATAAATGGCACACAGTCATTTTAACATTTTTAAAATGTGTACATTGAAATTTTGTCTTTAAAAATGTGCCAGTAAAACAAAATAATTTGAAAAGATTATGATTAACATTTTTAAAAATGCCAGGAAACCATAGACCAAGTGTAAGCAAACTCTTTTGTTAAAACTAAAACCCCTTTCATTGAATAAAACCAAGGTGTATTAGATACATAAAATTTAGATTTGATTTCACATTTACTTTCAAAATATAGAAACCCTAAATAATTAATATCCTTTGCATTTCTTTTCCTTCACATCCTCAGACATCACCAAAGAAGCCTGCGACAGGAAGTGACAGCGTGAGGTTACGTCCACCGGTGGATCTGTACATTTAGACACAGACAGAGTAAGAGACAGACAATGGACCAAACATATTCCCCTTCTTGAAGACCTTTACCTCATATTTGGCAAGCCATCATCACTGGAGTTGTCCTGCAGTAAGCGTGTGAGCTGCTCTTCTATATTTCCATCTCTTCTGTTGACCATGAATGCTGAAAACAGAGAAATGAATAGAAACAGAATACTGAGCTACACTTAGACTGCATTTGAATGTCCTTTTTAAAATACTTGGCATTTTTCTCACTTTCTGGTACAAAGCTGTTCTGATCATCGCCCAGCTCTGTGTAACCAGCTCTGGTGCGTCCTGAGGCTGCCTGGACGCTGTACCGCTGTCTCCAGGCCTGAAGCAGAAAACATAAAAAGCTGAAAACATTTAAAATAAACTAGTGTGCCAAAAGCTTAGAATAAAACAATTTCTAACCCATCTTCGATTTTCTCCGTCTTCTGCTTTCTGTCTTTTTCTTCTTTCTAGAAAAGAACAGATTATCCTGCATGCATTTAAAGTTGTATAAAACACATATCAAATATAGAAAAAAAAATTTAAATGCACATGTAGGTCACAATTTTTATTTTATTACTCTCATCCAGCTAATAATTATGACAGTTCTTTATGCTTAGTGCTAAAACAATTTCTTGTTTTGTCAACGTTGCCTCACTTTGTGTTGAACGTTGCGTCTCTTTTACATGTTTTAAATTAGGGATGTATGAACATTTTTACATGCTGAAATATCACAATATTTACTGTTATGATGCTGAATCCATATTTCTTACTGAGAATTTACATGCAATCTTTTGTGTAGTGCTATTCAAACACTGACTGCTAGGGGGCAGCAGGTGTTACCACCTTCTTTCTGGCAGATCTGGCCTTAACGCCGGGGACACACCGGCCGCCAAAGCGCCGGGAGGCGAAGCGCTCACAAAATTCGGCCGCTGCTCGCTGCTCCTCAGTTCAGACCAGACGCTTGTGTCTGCGCTCCGCTCGAGGCGCGCCTCGTAGTTTTTCTTTTAACCACTTGGCGTCCTCCATTTCCTCTCTGCCTTTTCTCTGCTCTTTTCCTCCACACCCCCCTTCCCCTTGCTGTTTGTTTGTGTGTGTGTGTGTGTGTGTGTGTGTGTGTGTGTGTGTGTGTGCGTGCGCGTGCGTGCGTGTGTGTGTGAACCAGTTGTTAATAGTTGGCCTACAACTTTCTGCCTCTCTGTCCTGTTTGCTCCAGTTGAAAGACACCCAAAACCACACCCCCTTCACGTGGTCACACACACACACAAGTTTGCTGTGTGTGTGTGTGTGTGTGTGTGGTTTTTATGCAGTGTGTGATTACGAACACATTTGACTATCGCAGAATTGTATTTTGAAATGCTTTCTTTTGTTAAATTTACCGGCCTGCCTCTTATGTCTAGGTTTGACTTGCTGCCAGAATTGACGCGGTCCACCCGCGGCTCGCGATAAAAATAGAGCAGACGCCAAAACGATCGCTGCACGGTGCGGGCTGGAGCGCCGGCGCGCGGCGCTTCGGCGACCCATGTGGTCTATAGAATAGGATAACAAGGGCGCCGAATGAAGGCGGCCCCAATTTCGCTGCGCTTCGTCGGCCGGTGTGTCCCCGGCGTTACACTGGATGTTTCTTGGAAGTGTCTGGCTGGATTTTTCAAATTACATTAAGTCTTAAGAATTGCAAATATTGTCTAGCTTTCAGCATTGTAATTGTATCGTCTGTATTATGATTTAATTTGTATTGGTAGATTTCTGCATAGACAATCCCCTATTTTAAATAAAAGCTTTTGTATCACAATACAAGTAATGGAAAAATTTTTTCAAAAACTGTTTGCATTCTTTACGTCTTTCCAATATAAGAAAATAAATGTAATTAATGAAGTTTCTAATAATTATTCATCTATCCATTCATTATCCTCCGCTTTTTCGGGGTTGGGTCGCGGGGGCAGCCAAGAGACATAGTTCCTCCAGCGTGTCCTGGGTCTTGTTTTGGGTCTCCTCCCAGTTGGACGTGCCTGGAAAACCTCACCAGGGAGGCATCCAGGAGGCATCCTAATAAGATGCCCGAGCCACCTCAACTGGTTCCTCTTGATGTGGAAAAGGAGCAGCGGATCTACTCTGAGCCCCTCCCTGATGACCGAGCTTCTTACCCTATTTGTTAGGGAGAGCCCAGCCGCCCTGCAGAGAAAAATCGTTTTGGCCATTTGTATCAGTGATCTCATTCCTTCGGTCACTACCCAAAGCTCGTGACCACAGGTGAGAGTAGGAACGTAGATCGACGGGTGAATCGACAGCTTCACCTTCCGGCTCAGCTCTCTCTACACCACAACAGACCGGTACAACGCCCGCATCACCGCAGACGCAGCACCAACCGGCCTATCGATCTCACTCTCCAGCTTTCCCTCACTTGTGAACAAGACCTCGAGATACTTAAACTCCTCCACTTGAGGCAGGACCTCATCCCTGACCCGGAGAAGCCATTCTACCCTTTCTCGACTCCAGACCATGGTCTCGGATTAGAGGAGCTGATTCTCATCCCGGCTAATAACTATGATCGTTTTTATCCAATAGCTGAAACATAACATTTCAACAATGCAGAAACATCTGAAAGGCAAATATCTACTACAACCAGTGACCAGTGTACCTCTCCTGATAAGTTCTTTGCCTTCATCCACTAGGTCAGAGGTCATGTCGTTATTACTGATGTACTGATGGAAGCCCAGGAGGTTCAAACAGCGGGAGCCCAGGCTACAAATCCACAAAAGGAAACACAAATGATCACAAAGGATATTCTTTATGTCTAATGTAAAAATAAAATTCACCCACAGTACATTTCATCCAAACAGACTTTAGGTAGCGACATTAATACTGATTTCCTATTGTTCTCATTTGGATTTCCCCCCTCATGATCTAATACTCTCAGATCTACATGTGAATGTAGCCTTTGTAATAAAAACGTGAGTTTTCAGGTGTTCGTGTCTGTTGGTTTACTTATAAAACGTGGCAACACAGAGCAGCAGGACCAGCATGGGGTAATAAATGTAGAACCCATCAGAAATGACTGGCAGCAGTCGCGTCGAGCCCATTATCTAGGGAAACAAAAGACAACCACATTCAGTTTAATACGAAGAAACACTTTTTTTTCCTCGCGTTTTATTTCCTATAACAGAGTTATCGGTTTGATCGATGCATTAGGATGTACTCTTGTGTGCGAGAACCCACAGACATGTAGGATGTCTGTATTCTGTCCTGGTGTGAGACGGCAGAGTCCATATGAATCAGACCAAGAAAGTTGAGACATAAAGGAGGGGTCAGACGACAAAACAGCCTAGACAAAAAAAAAAAAAAATAATACAACAACAAAGAAAAGTAACCTGTCATCTTAACAAAGAGTGAGCATTGTTTTCACTTCATATTTTCACAATTCATTAACTAATTCCACGATAACAAACAAGAAAGACAACCTCAAACGGAACACTTTACACGACGGACGTACATGCCGCTGAACTGCAGGCTGTAAGCGTCCGTCTGGTGATGTGGCACCAGGTGATAGTAGTTAAAAAACCGTATCCTGAAGACTGTGGAGTAGACGCACACACACATGAAGAGGATGATCACAAAGCACAGCATCTAATGGAGAAAAACAAACACAAAAGGGAAAAGTCTGATGAAACGATGCAAGATTAAAAACTTGTGTGATCTAGAGGCCGACCAATATGGTTTTGTTTTGTTTTTTAGGCCGATGCCGGTGTCGGTACAGGATCTACTCGGGTGCAGGATCAGCTCGGGGTCCTTCGACTGCCGATGACGTCACATTACTGCAACCCTACTCGGCTTTCACACGCACGTTTTGGAAAGACATCAGCAGTTTTGTTAATAAATTCTTGTTTGTTAACACCTAAATGTTTTCTTTATAATTGTAATTTGTGAATAAAACACCATATTATCTTTGTTTTGTAAAGAATGTGAAACTGCATAAAACCAACGTCGGACTGACTAAAAAGACAACAGTTCTTACATGTGAAGCCATATCTGTTTGTATTAATGTGGAGTTTGTCTGTATATTTCCTTGTTATCTAAATACATTCTTTGATTTAAGATATTGCTTGGTGTCTTTCAATAAAGTTCTTATATTTTATTTTTGCCCAATTTCATCAACATCAAGAGCTTTTGAGGGTCACCGTTTATCATTTGCTTATATTTTACATTTCATTTAGAAATTCAAACATATTTTCTCCAAAAGTGTTGATTTTTGGACTACAGGACTACAACCGCTAAGACTACGACCGCAAATTTGTTCTGACCAATCAAAATCATAACGTGATAACGTCACTTCCGTAAGCTTCGTGTTCACGTCATCGGCAGTCGAAGGACCCCGAGCCGATCCTGTACCGACACCGGTACCAATTTTTAAAGAATTTTGTTGGCGATGGCCGATATCTAAAGTCGATTATTATGGCTGATACAGATAAGTTTAGCAGCACGTTGATGGTGAAAAGCAACTGAACACTCACTGTGTGCAACACAAATTAAATAAGTCAATAAATCTCCTAATATTGGACTTCAAATATAAAACAAACTCAATAAAAAAAAGGTGTGTTGGGGTCCTTCTGGTCCTTTCTTCAGTCTAGTACTGGCAGCAGTTGACCACACGGGTGCCTGATTTTTTTTTAAAAAAATTTAATCGGCTTTTAAAAATCATTTTGGCTCATGGCCGATATAGAACAAAATGTAATATATCGGTCCGATATATCGGCCGGCCTCTAGTCTGATCATAACGAAGTAAATGCTTACTTCCATGCTAATATAAATGTGTTGCTGTTCAGCCTTGTGAACAAAAACAGCAAACAGAGAGAGGACTGGGTGTGTGCTGAAGAAGGTGCACTCGGACCAGATGACAGCTGCAGAGAGGAGAGCCAGGATCACCGCCAGCAGCCTGTAGAACACACGTCTGCACACACACTCCCAGTACCACTCTGAGCAGGAAAAAAACAACACACACATGACAGGATGGTCTTTGCTGCTGCAGAACTCGGAAATAAACTCAAGAGGAATGATGTACTCTGGAAGTCTCAGTACCACTCTTGCCTGCTCTGACTGAACTCACCTACAGTCGGGGTATAGATGAACCTCTGGATCCAGCTGTGGTGGGCTGATGGGAAGCTGTGGGTGAAGATTCGCTGTGGGCAGCTCTGGTTTTTTGCTACATCTTCCAGATGAAAGATCTGATCTAACAAGATGCACCACTGAACCCAAGTCCGACTCTCTGTCTGCACAGCAGAAATGACCTAAAACCAACAGTCAGACTTAATAATCGTCCCTATTGCATCATTGGTTTAAACCATAATGAGGCATTTAATTACTTTCTTATGAAGGTTAACTAAGCCTGTTTTAGTTGGGAGAATACGGTTTTTGTTCTGAGAACTTTCCACGTTGCTTCCCATCTCTTCTCGATACTTATCGGGACACTGAAACGAGATGATGTTCATGTACGGTCTGATGATCTACACAATGTATTAAATTGTAAATAAAAATTCCATATTAAAAAAGTCCTCGTGCGTATCTCACCTTTGTCAAAATAGTGTCCACGCACTTCCTAAGACTGTGGTTGAACCTGACAGACACACTGGCGTCTGCAACTTCCTGCTCAGTGAAAATTTAGATAGATTATTGTTTTATACGAACATCAGATTTCACTGAAATATTTTGTTTAAACAGAACAGAAATGATAGAAAACTCTCACCTCCATAGCATCTGCTAGGTTCTCCTCTGCTGCTGCCTTCTCTGTAGCCAGTTTTGCTACCTTAAAGTAAGTCTTGGCCAGCAGAAAATCGTTGGAGGATGAGAACCAATAAGAACGTGGGATCTCCACCAGGCCGTAACTTAGCAACAGCACCAAAAGGAAAAGGCCCCAGGTGTTGGCAGCTGTGATACCGATGGTCTGGATCGCTGTCCTGTACAGGTTTTATGAAAATAAACAACATACTTGGCTAAATGAAGAAGAAAAAAATAGCAACAACCACTGTGATCATTTGAAGTTGACATACCAAGAGAGTTTCCACTTTGGGTGAGCGGCGACGTAGAACAGCAGAGCGATGAAGACAAGGAGGTAGGTGCCGTAATAGATGGCATTTTCAATGAGAGCTGTTTTAATCTTTCCAACCGTAGAGAATGCTCCTGACTGTGAGTAAGACTGCATGAATGGCAACAACAGCCTACACACACACACACACACACACACACACACACACACACACACACACACACACACACACACACACACACACACACACACACACACACACACACACACACACACACAAAGAGTCAATGCTTCACACCACAACAGTTTATTAATCACAAGTGGAACAATCCCAGCCTACAGTGGGGTCTAATTTGGGCTTTACATCAGATGTGCAAACGGCACTTAGCTTAAGCGGTGTATTTCCACTGCAACCTCAGCAGCAAATCTCTTTCTACCAGGTGTGTATCAGACGCACTGAGCTTATGAATGATTTCCACACAGCTGGTCCCATGAGATCACAAAATCACAGGAGAATTGCAAGATCATGCGTGATTTTGCCAGTTCACGCAATAACACGCAAGGATAAAAGCGTCAGCGTACATCCAAAAGATCTGTGGTTTATTTTGTTCTCTTTATCTGCACCAAAGAGCCGATGTTATCTTTGGCATATACAGTATATATATTTAACTAGATTTGCATTTGTCTTTTATTTTGAAATATGCTTTACACTGCTCCCATGTTTTCTTTTCTGGCCCAATCTGAATTGCTGAGGTTGGCGTGTTCTGGACGAGTAGCGCGTAAGAATCAGACCCGGAGAGTAAACTTAGCAGAGCACCATGACTCCACGTTTCCGAAGACGCTTCTGGTACGCGTTGGATTAGCGTCACTGTGTTCCAAGAGGAAACAAACCCATTGACTATACCAGTTAGGGATGGACAATATATCGGCATCGGCCCATGTAGGTAATTTTTTAACGTATCGGTATCTGTTCGATAAATAAAACCGGGCCTATATTAACAACCGATATTTTTTCCATCTTGTCTCCATTTGTTTGCCTTTTCAGAGGGTGATGTGTAATTGCTTAGTCACTGACAGTGATCATAATCATCTCAGAGGCGTAAATGTTTATGTTGTGTGTACATAATAATTTAAATTCAGCTTTAATCATTTTCATTCTATACACAATATATATAAACAAATTATATTAGAAGCATTAGTGTCAGTATATCGGTATTGGCAAATATCGGTTATCGGCCATTACAGTGATATTAATATCGGATATCGGTATCTGCCCAAAAATTTCTTATCCGTGCATCACTAATACCAGCTGCTATTAGCTGCATATGGCGTTTCGCAGATGTTACATGCCGCTTACGCCTCTAGTGGAAAGTTGGGGTTAGTAGTATGTTCATTAGACAACAGGGTGAAATATACCATGTGAGAAACTGGGAAGTCCAATAAACCACTCTCCAAAACACTGGCAGGATACCGTCTGCAATATAACTCCAGGGCTCCTCACATACCTTAGGTACACTGCACACAAGCACACGCACACACACGCACACGCACACACACACACAGAGTAAAGTTGTTTAACCCCAGGAAACAGATTGAAGGAACACATGTCCTTTGTGTAAACCAACTGTGACCAATAAGGTCCGGATTACCTTGTTTTAAATGTTGAGTTGGTGTTGTACTGATTTGATAGTCTTCCTTGAGAAACAGAGGGAGTGTGGTTTAAACTGTCATGAATGCACTGGTTGTAAATGGTCTAAGGAAAGAGCAAGGTCACCTCATCAGACAAACCCATCAAATAAAGCAAGTCACTGCAACGTAGACAGTGACCAAAAGCAGTTAAATAATGTTTTTACCGTGCTGACGTCAAGTGGCAGAACAAACACGATGAGGAAGCAAAGGTACCAGGACAGATGCGTCCCCAACAGGACCATCCGCTGCTGCTTCCGCAAATCCCCATAACGCTGGAGGAGGTAGAGGGCCAGGAGGAAAACAACAAACACCACCACAGAAAAGGCAGCAGCACTCATGGTGATAAAAGATCACTCAAGATTTCATCGTGGCACCCAGCCTGAAGGAGTTAAGAAAAATACAAGAGGAGCTGATAATGCCGACGTGATCAGTCAAGAGTTAGATTAGAAAATAATGGAATAGATGAAGCACAAAACAGTAACCACCATATTTAGTACACAGTTCTCCTAACTTATTTGATTTGATCACATTATTGGAATAAAAAAAACAGGCCAAATGCTCGTTTCATCTCATTTAATGGAACACTTTAGTTTCTATACAAATTCCCACTGAACAAAATTATTATTATTGATGACATTAATGTTTTTCTCACCGCTCCAACAACTTGGCTGCTAGCTTAACTGTTTTCTAAATGAACTGTAACTGTGGTGAGCAGCGTTTTCACTTTCACAAATCCGACATAATAAATAACGAATGTCGATTCAGTAACCAGAAGTGAACTCCGTTTTACCTTTTGACAATTCCTCTCTGACACTGAAGCTTATTAAAACAGACACATTACGATTTTACTGTTACATTTTCTTACAACTCCAACAACAGACGCGCACAGCCTTCGAAACTAGCTTGCGTAAGAAACTTGCGTTTGCGTCATCACGTCTTCTTTCTAAGGCAGCGTGGAACTGTGGGTAATGTAGGCAACCTAAGCGGGAAATCACAGTGGATTGCAGGTTTTGTCCTATGAGAACCAGCATTCTCAATATGATTTAATTATTTTCAGCTTATAGGAGGCAAAATGTAACACAACACGTGTAGGGGAGAATATCAGATGGTAAATCAAGCAGGATCAACAAAATGAAGTTAGAGAGAACGAACGGACTTTAGAAGTAAAACAAAAACTACAATAAATAATAATTCAGATGGACCCGGTGCCTATGTCACAGACTTTTGTTCCAAAGATTCTTGGAGGAATTAGAGGGCTAATTACCTGCAATATGAATACAGAGAACAATTAAACATCCCACAAACAGAAGCTGTCAAGAATTATTTGAAACAAGACAAAACATCTAGATAAAATGCACAAATTACGGCATGAACAGGCTACCAAAAAACAAAGATGATATGTCAGAACTGACTTTAAAAACCATCAAATCAAAAGAATGCTAAGTTTTTGGTCTAGACATGCACTGCAAAGAGTTATTGCAGAGAGTGTTTAAATCATTTTGTTGCAACCACAAGTTATTCACACAAACATCGACATCCAGATGCATCAAATTTGTGTTAAAGCAACTTTGTATTGAAAATAAAATATTATTTCTTTGTATTTTTTAAAATGTGATCATGTAAACACTTTTCCTCAAACAAAAAACTCAGATGCATTGTTTAAATCTTTATTTCCATTATGGCCTTTATAGTAACAAACCACAAAACAAAACTACTTATTGTAAGCACCAAAATGTTTGGCTCATTATGAAAAATGATTAGATCATCGAATTAGCACATTTGCACAAGTGGGTCAATAAATAACTCCATGGACAACCATAATCTGAGGTTTTATTCTTGTCATGAAACTGCAAAGGTTGCAATATGCAGAGTTTACCACCAAGTCATAATTCTTTCTAGCCTGAAAATTTTAGGACATTCAGGAAAAAAAAAAAGAAATTGGAGTCAACTTCAGGTGTATGAGAGAAGCCACACGTAAGGATCTTCAGCACACAGGGGGCCCACAACACATCATGGTGCTCCAGCCAAAAATCCATATGACATAAAAGATCCAGGACCCCATTCTCCACAAGGTTTGGGCATAGAGTCCAATCTTCTACTGTTCTGGAGAGATCCAGTGCATTCATCCAAATAGACCCAAAAATATCCAGAAATTCTGTCCAGTCTTCCAGAATATGGTCCAGTACCTGCATGTGCTCCATAAAGATGTTCAACTTTTACATCCAGCCCCAAGTAAACCCTCTCAAAAGGAGGAATCCACAGATGTGGTTGTTTTGTCCTTTGGAATTAATCTCTGAGATGCATCACTCTTCTGTTTCTTCTGATTTGTGTCGTTCTTCCTTTTGCATCATGGCTGACTGTCGTGATCTGAGCAGCAACAGCACAAATAAACCTGCTGCACCGGCAGTCCTTTGAGGCCATCTGTCAGCCTGCAATCTCAACTTCTCCACCCCCTTTAAAAAGATTAGAGAAGGTAAGTGTGTCCTTGTGCCCGTAAGTGTTCCTCATCAATAAACCTGCATGGAAGGATCAATACTCTCTTTCATGAGCTGTCTAAACCTTGTGATACTCTTACACACAAGATAGAAAGTCCAGTTTAATCTTAAATTAAATAATCTTGAACATAATTATATGTACATCTCTTTCAAATAGGATGGAATTACCACTTTACCATCTTGTTATGATGTTTGTGTTCATTCTGGTTTATAATTTCAAAAGCTTTGTTACCAAACCTTGTTTTGTGGCTCACAGTGAAAAATATAAGCCAGTTTCTGATTATTCAAAGGCCAGATGTGACGCTTTTGGTAATGTCAACAGAAAGAGTTAAATTGTGACTGTGATTTTACTTTTTGTGTAGTTGCCACCACCAGAGGGCGATAGTAATTTGATTTCAACTTGCAGCATAAATGTGTCCATGGAAATCCTGAAGATTAGTTATTATTTTACATGTGTTGTTGTTGTTTACGCTGCAAATAGAAATTTATTTATGGTTTCAAACATAATTCGGCTTGAACAAGTTATTTCAAACTGATTAGTGGAGTGTGTAGTCCCAATATTTTATGAAGCATGCCCTAAATTCAAATAATAAAACTTAACTTTTAACACCTGAAAAAATTACCTAAAAATGGAAATGTTTGAATGAGAAAAAATATTTTTAACTTAATGTGTACATTACTATTATTATTATTATTGTTCTTATTGTTATTGTTATTATTATTATTATTGTTGTTGTTATATAAAACTCACTGTTCTAAATTAATATTTATTTCTTTGTATGGGTATGAAATTGTGAATGCACGAATTCTAAAAGAAAAGATAATAGTTTAAAATCCAGTTCAGATGCACAGAATTAAGCTTTCAGAATAAAACTCATCACCTTTTCTTCATGTGGTTGTATTCTCTTTTTAATACACTTTAATCTTTTATGGAGCAGGCTTTATCAGCCAGTTGTTCGTAGTAGAAAATAAGAGTATGTTAAAATCTTTCAGAACCTCAAGCATATCTTCCAGAAAGTGTCACGATACGGTGTTGGTAGGACCCAAAATGCAGGAACCCAAGATGACACGAGGCAGGTGATAATATAAAGAAAAATCCTTTATTTTGAAGGATGAGTCCAAAAAATAAGAATAAATCCACAGGAGCTGGAAGTCAAAACTCCAATAAGTCCAAAATGAAAACTAGTGACAAACACTGGAGACTAGAGCAGGTTGACAGAATTACCACAATGGACCGACACCAAACAGAGACAAGACAGGGCTTAAATACACACGGAAAACAATTAAGGAAACAGGAAGCAGGTGTGTGGAGTGAGGGCTAGAGGGAAGGCAGGTGACACAAATTCTCTAAATGGGGGAAACAGAACCAATGGAGGGCACAAAAACTTAAACCTAAAACTAAACCTAAGACTGAGGGAAGGACTCACACACACACACACACACACACACACACACACACACACACACACACACCGAGCTGGGGACAAAGAGGCTGGAGCTACAGAACGTGAAGGAAGACCTGGAGGGCTGGGGATGAATGAATGACACATGGACCTGGGAAGAATTGACTTTAAAGGGCTACAAACCTAAGACACATAATTGAGATGCAGACAAAGGACACATGAGGGCACCATGAGACACAGAAGTGAATCTAGAGAGGATGGAGAAACATCAGGAGACACATGAAGGAAGGGGCAGACGCAGACCATGACAGAAAGACCCGGTCAGGTTTCTGGTCACGCCCCTTTGGCTCCACAAGGCCCAGATCATTTGGGAACCTTAAACCTTAAACACAAGACTGATGCTTTCTGACATGAAGAAACTTGATTTGAGACATAAATGAATAGCAATACAGTAAATAAACAGTGCTATTACGCTTTTGTTGTATTTCACAGTTGCTATCACGTACATTTTGATCATTTCCTTCAATTTCTTTTTCTCTTTTGTAAGATACATGGCGTTGCATAACTTCACACATAAGTCAATTCAATTCAGTTCACTTCAAAAATACTTTATTAATCCCAGAGGGAAATTGATTGCTGTAGTAGCTCAGCATAATAATAATAATAATCAAGTCATACCACAACTGAACAGGGGTTTTTGTAATGATTTTTTTAACATTACCAGTTGTTAGGTGTATTTTCTGATATGATTGCCATTTTCTTGATTCTTTACGAAACACGGATTATTTCATACGATAGGTATGGAAACCTGCTGTTATCTTGACATCCCACTATCTTTATTTCTCATTTTGATGACTGATGACTTATTAGAAACATTAAATCTTTCTTAACACACGAGAAAATCAGATAGATATGTTTATGTGGCTTTCACAAATTTGAAGCAGACTCTTATGAGCACAAAATTACTTTATAATAAATGATTACAAAACACAACTTTTTTGAGAAAATAATAAAACATGCTTTTATTTTGAAATTTCAGTCTACACTAAATCCAATTAAAAAGTAGGGCAATAGTTGTTCAGTCTTTATTAAATCTATATTTCTCATTTTATTACTCAGCAATCAGTCTATAATTGACCTTTGCAATTATTTTACTGTCAATTAATTTACAAATAAATAAATCAATGAACTAAAATAAAAATATTGATTCACTGGCATCTGATCCTGTTCCAGTCTCAGTAGTGGTACAAAACAACACTTGTGTGTGAAATTCTCTCCGGCTGTTTTGCTCCTGATTAACTCGTATTTTCTGCTTTCCGGCCCACACACACTTCACCATCATGCCCACTCTCCTTTATTGTATACGATGAACCACTGGGACTGCATCCAGCAGGGCCTCATTCAAATCAGCGAGAAGCTGTGTGTGAACAACCTCGTCTCCCATCGTGCTCAGTGAGCAGCTATGAGCGCGCTGAGACTTCTGGGTTTGAAGTTTGTGACATTTGATCCATGGGAAACCCTTGTGCACAATGATGCTGGTGAACAATGTGGCCTCAGTCCTGTGCGTCCCTTGAGGACCACTGCAGATTGTAGATCTTGTGACCTGTCCTGGATACGTCCCTCCACTGGGACCTGACCACTCCCTTCTGAAAGTACAGGTTTGGTACAGTAAGCAGGGCCGGGTAGGGTTACACACTCCTATTGAAGCTGACAGTATGGCTGCTGTCTGTGCACATGTGCATGAGAGAGAGAGAGAGAGGGAGAGAGAGAGAGAGAGAGAGAGAGAGAGAGAGAGAGAGAGAGAGAGAGAGAGAGAGAGAGAGAGAGAGTGCTTTCTTGGGTGTTGCATAGTAGAAATGATCCTTTAGCTGAATTTTGCAAAAAAATTTAAAAAAAGCCTAAAACTAAATTTTGCAATTAGTTTCATGGCCACAGACAATTACTATTTCCTGTCTAGAGGCAAATAAAACATTTATTTTGTGTCTGTGATTTACTAATTTATTTTGTGAGTGTACTAGATTATGTAACATAATTTACTAAAG